CAAGCAAAATCTGCACCGCACAACACCAAATCCGCACAAGCCGAACAAGCCTGCACTGGCGAGATCTCATCAAAATTGCCACACTTTGTAGACTGGCCACAAAGAATAGAAATAAACATGCAGTGGTAGGAAGTCTTCCACAAATTTCATAACAATAACAGCATGAGGAAGCTTGTGGAAAGTGCATGGAACCATTCCACCAACTGGCTATCAATAGTTACACAGTGTGAGCCTAGCAGCTTGGATGCAAGTTGCAACATTGGCACTCACCCTGGCCCTCGAAGGCGACTGTTCCTGGCTCCACTTTCTCTAGCCGTTGCAGGTTACCGGAGTCAAAGTTGGAGGAGATGCGAAACCCACCATCTGTCTCCACCTCCATCACAGCTGGGATTCTGAGCTGACCTGGAAAACAATACAAAGCTGTTGAAACTGTTCATGGATATAATTATCATGCATCCTCAGTGATTTCATTAAAAAAAAAATGGCTGCTGAGCTGATGTAAGCATACATGTTCAGAAACTGTTTATGCACAGTCTCCCAAAAGTTAGAATCTGCATCATTAATACACGAAAAATAGGTGTAAAACTGACTGAAAACGTTAATTACCTACAGTGTGGAAACAATGGAGGTCGAGAAATTGGAACAGCCGAATAAAGAAGCGTTAATAAATGGTACGACATGAAGACTATAACTGAGACTGACCTTGCGGATGTGCTTTTTGTATTGCAAGCTTTATATATTCATGCTGAAATTCAGGAAATTAGAAACAGCTCATTACACTCCATTCACACTAGACGCCTTTCATAAACAAAACAATTTCTCAAGGCCTGAGGCAAATGTGACGCATCGGAGCGAAAGCTCCAAATCGTGACCGCTAAATGAATAATTCTGTATTTTAGGGTAAAGTCAGCAGCACATACTGTCTGCACACACTGCCTCGATCCGGTGCCAAGTGTCATCAAGACTAGTATTTAGCCACCAAATCACATGTGACTTTTTAAGACCCTATTCGTACGAGAAAAATCACTTTCCTTGATTTACTTGGCTTTCGAAATAGGAACGCCAAGTGACGTGTTGCCAGGTCAGGTGCCGATAAGCCGCGTCGGAGATCATGGATTAGGAAATCTCGGTGGTTTTGCCCCTCGACTAGGTACGATCACACCTCTTTTTGAACCTAGATCTCTTCAATTAACCAGGCCATTGACCTAGTTGGGCGCTTATATAGGTCGATGACTCATATGAAACAATGGAGATGGATTTTGGCCGCCACCCGTAAAAGAACATAACAGAAACAACGGTGTATTGAAACAAGTGCAGTCTGTGCTGTACCACTCCTTAGTATTCCCTGCATTTTCCCCATCCCTGAACTCAAACGAGCGGTTCAGATGATGCACAAAACAACACATGTTCGCTGGAGACGCCACAGATGGCGCTATCGATAACAACCATTTAAAATCTTTCATTTTTTAGATTGGCGATTCTCCACTCGGTTCTTGGCTTGGTATCTAAAATCGAATAAACAATTTTGAGATAAAATACTCATAATGATGGTTTTCGGCCCGTATATGATAAGAAGGGAGACAACTCGCGAAAGGTGGCAATCGATAACATAAATGAAACGGCCTATCAAACCAAAACTACGCTCATATTCCCACACCTGGCACACCTATTCACACCACCATTCATTCACACATTCACATGGGACAGATCAGCAAACATACATACGTACATCGCCTTCTTCAACACCTAACAAAACGAACCCCCTAGAAAACATACCGTCATCAAATGGTTCCACTGCACTCACAAACCTGTACACACAACTGCGTTACCCTAGTAGCACACAACATTGATACAACATTGAGATATGTTGAAATCAGGTTGATTGTCAATATTGGTGCTTCAACACGAATTCAACATTGATTCAACGTTGATATCACGTTGATATTTGGTTGTGCTTTGTCGAATCTTGGTTGAAGTTCAACATTGTAGTTCAACATCGATACAACATTGTCCCAATGTTGAGTTCACAATATCGACAAAAGAAGAATTTCAACGTTGTGATTCAACATTGATACAACATTGTCACGATGTTGATTTCACAATATTGATAAAAAGTAGAGTTCCAACATTGTGATTTAATTACTATATTGCCCCGCAGTTGCGTTGACACTTGACAGCATTAAAGGGGGCAAATGCCCCTCGGGTGTAAGGGGTCCCATGGGCTGGCTCGACAGGTCCTAAGGCGTCAATCGGACTTTAAGGGTGGGATCACTGAGGTTCCAAATAGACGAATATGGTCGTATAGAAATAGTACCTATTGGTATCGTATATATATGCATATACATTATACGTCTTGAATATGATATATAGAGTTATAAAGTGAATTGATCCTTAAATAAAGATAGCTCCACTTCAAAAATCCTTTTATAACATCCTCAACCTACGTTGAATTAAGCAGCATTATTGTATCGGCATTATTTTATTCGGGTGCCACCGGTGCCATTCAAGTATCACGGTAGTTAGTGTCTTGGTCCCCTCCCACCAGTCGTGCGCTGTACTCTTTCAGAGACCGTACCGACTGGAATCTAGCGACCGCTGACCGTTTTGAAGACTGTACGCGGCCGGCAGCGGGCGGTCCCATCCTCGCCTCCGGCTAGAGAGGGGGAGACCGCGACAGGGGACCGCGCGTCCCCCGTCCCGTTGTGCCGGGCCGGCTCGCAGAGTGCGGACGGGTGTGTTGAGTGTGTTGTGTCCAGTGTCGTCTGGCGTCTCCTCTTTCGATCCGACCAAGTGTAGGTTTCCGCCAGTTTCTGCTGTGTGACAATCAGTGCATTTATCCTATAGTTATTGCAGTGATAAGTTTAAAAAAACTGGCGCTGAAACGTTCTCTTCAAAATGGTGGCGATCACCGTCGTCACTCACTTGCCTGCGTCAAAGAGAAGAAGTGCTGCCGGTGGCGTCATGTAGCGTCATGACTTGAAACAGGGCCCGGTAAGTATAAAAGAATAGATTCATGGTAGTAGGACGTATAGGTAGTGGTAGGGGAAGGAGGGTGAATTGCGCCACCTTAAGGAAAAACGCTAATTGTAAGAAAACCGCTGGAGATATAAGCATGCATTGGTGACCATTTCAAAGAGGAACTCATTGGCTACGATTTAAGAGCCTCCCGATCAATTAAGAATGTTTCGTTTGCTTCTGACAGCTGCTTTTTCAGAAACATGTAAAAGGGCGCATTTGCCAACAACTGCTGTAAATTGCGCCAGGGGGATGGCGCAATTAGAACCCAATTGCGCCCTATACTTTAACATGGCTAAGCGAATGAGACGGAATGCATACACCCCGGCAGTCTAATGTCATTGCGGCTTACTTTAACATTCATAATGTTATTCACGCTGGTTAAATAATAAATGTAGGTGTAAATCGCGATGTTTTTTTTTTGCCCAGGTAGATAACTTTACATGTGTTCGTACGCTTGTAAAAGTGCAACGAAAACGTTTACTGTAACCGACTAGATATATGTGAACGTATGCGCCTATACGGTTATATTTCCAATCGTTTCTCTCAAAATTAATAATTTTTATTGTTTCGACAGTTTTATGACATCAGTTTTTACTTTTTTATCATAGCTGTCACCTCTCCCGCCTGAGTCCATGTTGAAAATGTCGCATTTTGTCAATTACACAAGTTCGTAGCCTAAATGGCAGCTGCATTATAAGTTTGACGAGAGAAATAATTTGCGGACTGACGACAGCGGGTTGCTCCCCTGCCTGACATTAAACTCCTTCTTTATTGCAATCAGTTAATGATGCATTCATGCTGTCGTGATATACAATAGCTACACCATTATTCTATTTGCGCCCCCCTGGCGCAATTGCCATGGGCGCAATTAAAATTGAGGTACTTTTTAATAAAAGCGTGGAAGTTATTATAAAGATGTTGAAGGAAAATTAACTGTTTTAGTGAAATATAATGAAAAAAGGGTTTTTCTTTCTAAATATCACTCTGAAAATCACACAAATATCACACATTTTTATAGCCAACGGTTCAAAACACTGCAAAAAAGCTAAGAAAACGCCGTAAGATCTTTGATGGCGTAATGAGCCTTGCTGATTGGCTTCATCGGGGAGCTTGGGCCATAAAAGGAGCTATCCAGTGGGGAAAATAATGTTTTCGAACACAAAATTCAAAACATGCCATTGAATCCGTGGGAATGTTGGTGGGCGCAATTGGTTAGGAGGGCGCAATACACCCACTTTCCCCTACATGCGTGACGCTAAATGCACTTACATAAATATCTATTATCTGAGCTGAAAATGACTGAACTGAATTTACTCAAAGGCCCAATTTATTACCGTTGTTACATAGGAATCTCCGCTTTGTTACAGGAGTGCGAGGCTCGACAGGCGACTCAACCCCCACGGCCCTGACTGAACCGCTCAAGATGTGAACTGTGAAGATGGCGGAGACTGAGCGGCGGCCGAGGTTGTGTGACGTGATATGTGAAGTGTAACTGACTCGAAAAAAGTGAAGAGCTGTGCATATATCATAGAAATACATTTTCCCCGAATATTGACTGTGACGGTGACGCTGGAATATTTTAGGTAATTACGGGATACGTGATTCCGTACACGTATAGGTCTGTCCACAACAACATCGAGACAATGTTGTATCAACATCGAGACATTGTTGAATCAACCAAGAATCAGCATCGAGACAATGTTGTATCAACATCGAGACAATGTTGAATCAACCAAGAATCAGCATCGAGACAATGTTGTATCAACATCGAGACAATGTTGAATCAACCAAAAATCAACATCGAGACAATGTTGTATCAACATCGAAACAATGTTGTACAATGTTGTCCTGTCAACATTGATACGATGTCGAAATTCAACATCGTATCAATGTCGAAAGTGGCTAACAGAATTACATCGATACAACATTGTTGTCAATATTGATACAACATCGATACAATATTGATGTGCTACTAGGGTACAGCATCAGTCCGATCCCAACGCCCTGTCCAGTGTCCACTGTCCAGTATCAAAACTTAACATCACAGTTATCGTACACTGGCTGACAAGGCTGCCAAATACCCATTGAAAATATTTAGACAGTCAGCTAGACGTTGTTTGCTGTTAATTCATCCACTCAGCACGAAAAAAAGTCGTAAATGATGGTTTTAAGTCCGGCATGCGAACTGTTAGTTTTAGAGTTTGAGATGACACAACCAATTCGGGACAGCGACTGACTGCCCTTCCCCATGTTGAGCCATTTTGGCCATAGTCCTGGCCCTAACCGAGGCAATCTGGCAGTCTCGTTTCTACATTGGCAACACGTTGCCTGAAACACAGCTTTTATCAGAGAGCATACTGGTTTTTGCCAGCTGTTATGTCAGCTCCAACCCTAGCCAAACGACCTATTTCTAACTCCCTCCCTCATCGTTACAAGCTCTGTCTCTTTCTCTCACTTAAGTTTGACCCTTCCTGTCGCATTACACCGGAGTATACCAAACAGTATCACTCCTCTCAGCTCATCAAACTGAGCTGTTCCATCTTATTCACTGTCATACTCTCACACAGCTCTGATAAAACAACCGACGGCGGTCCATTTCAGACTGGGCACCCATATCCAACGGTTTTCTATACCGGAGGGACGTTTCTGACACATACATAGTTCAGCCGCACGCACCGGAGCTCACTGTGGTGAGGTCACTTCAGGTGTCCGTCTCCAATGGGCGTCTTTCTCACAAGGGCATCCTTCTGGCACGAGCGTCCTTCTCACATGAGCGTCTGTCTCACATCGGTGTCTTTCTCACGTGAAAGTCCTTCTAACATGGGCGTCCCTTCTCACACTGGCACCCAGCCTACATCAACACCCTCACAGCATCTTAGACGTCCCGCCAATATCAACGTCTCCAAGATGGGCACCCTTTACACAGACGCCGCTCTAAGACGCCCATCGAAGACGCCCATCGAAGACGCCGCTTTAAGAAACCCTCCACACCCGCATGATTCCCTAGCCGCTCTTCGGATGCCGTCATCGGTTAGCATCCCTGTGTATGAGGGTGTCCCAGGCGGGGGAGGCCACCACTCGGTGTCGGACGTGCCCTAACACCGACACGCTGCCAGAAGAGCCGTCTGCACTGGTGGACACCGAGGCTGCCTCCTGCGCGGGGGGAGGGGGGGGTGTTACTTGGGTGGGGTTATAGTGGGGCTGAGTTGTAGTTTGTAGTCAATATATTGAACGAGAGTATGGCTATTGTTCAGCTCATATGCCTTAAACGCTAAGTAATTTTAACCATAAACGAATGTCACTCAATACATTTGATGTATTGAGTGACATTTCATAAATCGTGTCATTGAATAAATGTCACATATCTATCATGGCAATACATTGACGGTATGGTTAAGCTCATAAGTTTTCTAGGTTTGAGTAACCCCTAAGCATCAACAACTGCAAACATTTGTAGTAGCTCGTAATCAGTTCTTACCTGAAGGAATTTGACCTGAGTGCCGGCGTCTAGCTCAAGGACGTGGTCCCCTAGAAGCAGGCGAGCCCTGCCCGACTTCAGAATCTGGAGCCGCCCTACCTGACCCTCGGGCAGGTCACTGAAGGTCACCAGCTCAGGGTTGGGCGCCTGCCGGGTCAGAGGTCAAACCGAGGTCACAGGTGGATACGAGTGCGCCCCTGACATGCATAACACATGGAACAAAGCTATCTATGTTTACAGTCAAAAGCATTCACGTCGGTAGCAAATTGAATTGATAAAATACATAAAAACGAAAAAAAATAAATACAACGCATAATACTGTCAATTTTATCGCAAATCTATCAATAATAAAATCGATACACAAATCATATCAATAAAACACACGAAAATCAGCGTTTTTAACTGCCAAGATTTATCAATTGGATGCAGCTGAAAAACAGGATAGGGCCTAGGGAATTCTTTAACCGTCACTGTATGTAAATGGGCTGCAGTGCCTGTGCCGGGTGCCCTGTAGTCGGTTTCTACAAATACAAATATGTACAATGTCCACCTTGGTATCCGCCTGGACACCGTTGGTAGTGCCGGCAGCCGACGCCGATGGCTCCTTCTTGGGCTTGAGCTTCACATCGTCATCGTTAGAGGTCAGCACCGGTAGACAGTCCGGAAACTGAAACGGCGGTGCAACAGGATTAAATTGATTTCCCTAAGAAGGCTGAACATAAAATATGCAACGATGAAGCACAATCTATTTTGCGACATAAAAATGCCATCAAAGTGTTCAGCAATACCAGTAAATATGCTGGAGAGCCCACCGCTTAGCATAGACAATTTTTGCGTATAACAGGCTGCCACACTGCCCAACACCGCATTCCACACCCAGTCTTAATTATACAAGTCATCTATATGCAAAACGTATGCCTACAGGAGGGTCTTGCCCTCATCCTACCTGGAAGAATACGAGATCCTTGCGGCCTTCCTTTAACATGGCGGCTACAGGCAGGTCGGTTTCCCGGCGTCGGGCGGCCGCCAGCTTACGTTCCAAGTCCAGTTTCTGGGGGAGATAGAAACGGAGTCAGGATGATACAAGGCGATACAGCCACCCACCGTTTGCTGGGGGGGGGGGGGCGTTAAACGCCCCCAGCCGATAACTCGAGAACCAATAGGCGCAGAGAAACGCACGAGGCGGCAAACGAAAGAACGCGACGAGGCGCTTCAGATGAACACTTTAAAGTTGAATTTTGAGGTCACAGGTCGGGTCAAGGTCAGGTCAAACACCTGAAATCGGGCTTTCAGTAGCATGGACTTCAGGACTTCGCAATGGGCGCCTCTCGTCATAAACTCTGTCAAAACGGTGCACAATCCATCATATAAGGCCTACAAGAGTGTCAGCTCCATGTAGGAGTCAGTCAAGCATAGGTCAGGGTCAAGGTCAGGTCAACCGGGTAGGCACATATCCCCGAAAATCAAAACTGATATTCGCAGCCCGTGACACATGTTTTATAGGTAATTTGGGGCGTAGAACACGATGGTGACATTCATTTTATCATATGTGTACGTGTTTGGCTCAAAAAGTTCAATTTAAGAAATGCATGTATCATGGTCGTCAAGTAGTCATGAGAAATTGCCAAGTTTCAGTTCAAGAATTTGGAAAATGCGGAACGATAATCAATAATCGAAGATAGCCATTTGATTGTTCATGGTATTGGCAGTCTAATGGCGTTTACGGCATGTCTGTATGTCTATTTTGTGATTTTATATGATTTTTTGAACATATGCCGTTTTTGGTCGAAAACTCAGAAATCATGACGTCACTAAAGCCTCAATATCTCAAAATTTTTTCCGACCGATTTTTTTGAAACTTTGTCACAATAAACTTCAATCATTTCCCTACAGGTACCCAAAATTTGGCGCGCCTGCGGCGCGCCGTTTTTATGCTATGACCCGGCGAAAAAAGTGGGGGCGTTTAACGCCCCCCCCCCAGCAACTCGCGGGTTAAAACTCGCTAAAACGCTGTTTATCGAAAACCAACCGAAAGCTTGTGAGCAGAGTACGAGTTCCGAAGCTGAGAGCACTGCCAGCTTACCTTATCGGAGATCTGCAGTTTGCGCTTCATGTACGAGTGTACGTTGTCGTCCTCATCATCGTCGCCGCATTTCACTGCGGAAATGACGCACTTCCGGTCAGTACTTATAACTTGACACGCACCCATGTCCCTCACATAGGAAGCCTCTTTTCATTGATGCATCATAAGGCACTGCCAGACAGAAGACTCTCTTACTTTGTCGACCCTGATATGTAAATTTATCCCTCAATCCACCACTGACGTAATTTGACGCAGTGTCTCCCTTGTGACGTCATTTGACGCGGCGTGTCCCACCTTTGACGTCATCGGTGAGGTAGGAGGAGCCGGCCGAGGCCGAAGACATGAGCGGCAGCCGAACGGGAGCCATCTCATCACCTGCTTCCTCCTCGCCGTCGTCGTCAATGAAGTTATCCTTCAACAGCGCTGCCAGCTTCCGCTCCTGCGCGCGCACAACCGGAAATGGGTTACATCCGGTGACCGGTGGTACAGAGGGAGCTTTGAGGTATATTGAAGACTGTACGCACTACGCAATGCAGGAAAAGTACATCCTAGAGCAGTGTGGTAAGTTAAGGTTGACGATGCGAATCTCCGAAAATGGACACGACAAAAACTCAAATGCGAATCTCCTAAAATAGGCACTGCAAAACAGTAGAACCAAAGAAGTCAGCCATGACTCACCTCCTCTTCTTTGTCGACCTTTTTATTTCCGCCGAACACCGGCATGGTCATCGCAGAGTCCTTCTCCCCACCTCCCCCTCCCCCTCCACCGCCTCCCCCTCCACCCCCACCGCCGCCGCCGCCGCCTCCTCCAAAGCCGCCAAAGGCACCGCCACCAGTACTGGGCCGCTTCTCCGGGGCGGCGATGCCTGGGAAATGACGAGCGACAGCGGGTTAAGTCGATGATAAAAAAAAAAAAAAATAACACAGGGCATATACTCTAGAGGCACCAGAACATACTGTTATTGCTGAGTCTTTAAATATGAGTTCACAATCGAGCCCAACCGAAGCCTTGGCACCTTCATCAAATTAGTTTGACCTTAATTCATTATCGCTGTCGGCGCCGGACGGTTCCATCTCTGCATTGCGCTGCTTACCGCTGCTAATTATTGAATAGCCAAACAGCTTTAAAGCAGCATATCAGTCACTTTCCGGGTTATCTCGTATATATTTCCTTCTCCCTCCCAAACTACCTCTCCTGTGCCCCTTCCCTTTCTCTCCTTCAGCTCTCCCTCTTTCTCGATCGTCTCACCTTCGCCGAACACCGATCCGGACATCTGCACCAGCTCCGGCCTGTCGCGGCGTCTCTCTCCTCCATCTCTGCCGCCCCTGCCCCGTCCGTCCCTACCGCGACCTCTTCCGTCCTTACGGCGGTCCCCGCGGCCGCCCCGCCGGTCACCGTCCCGCCTGTGGGTGAGAGGGTCACAGAGAGGTCAGTCAGGTCGAGGTAAGAGGTCATGAGAAAGTCAGGTTAGACGTCATGAGGTACGTCAAGTCGGAGTAAGACTTGGCTAGAGAGGTGGGCTAAATGGATCGTCACCTCATAAAGTGAATAGTAGAGCTCAGGAAGCAAACTGGCATCCATGGTTGATATAATTCACATGATGAAGATCCCAAAGCTTTTGATCACGAGGAGATTAAAAAACTGGTTGGTTGTGTCATTGGTGTCATGGACCAAGTCTAGTTTGATATCAACTATGAGAGGTAACATAATTTTGGAAGTTTATACAGCATCTCAAAGACCCTTCATCTACCCATCCATCACTTACCCCTTTTCATCGTGCTTCTCTCGCTTCACATCCAGATTCGGCACAAACACCCTCTTGCTTTTGGTGGCATGGAGCAGCGCCGGTCGCAGAGCCGAGGCCAGGGTCAGGTCTCGGGGAGGTCGTATGGACGGCAGGCGCGCCGGGGAGGGGCGCGGTCGGACCGGTGCCGAGCCCCCCTCGGCGCCGGAGCTGGCGCCGCCCGTGGCGCCGCCAGGACCGTCGCTCTCACCGGCCATGACCTGTGGAGTGGAGAAACTAGTCAGCGAGGTGTAGTCAGCGTTTGTTCTAGTCAACCTCACTAAGCCGGTGTTGGACTCCCAGTAGTGAAGGCCCTGTGAAGCTACACCATGCATTATACTTTAGGAAATTACACTCGTCATGCGTCTTGTCAGGTTTTGAGGGATATCAGTAGACAGTACACAGATCCAGTTCGGTTGATAGAAAATACAGAAATACACTGTCGGCTACACTGTGGGTCACACACATTCAGTCAAGGAAGTCATGGATGTTAACTCCAGGAACTGCCAGATAGTCAGGATTGTCAGGATTTCCTGTGCTAAAATTACATTTAGAATTTTGATTTTATATGGACTAAGTGCTTGCATCAGCATGAGTTGTTGTTGATTAGACAAATGCTGATGCACTTGGTAGCACACTACCTATGCCACATGTAATTTGTAAATCAAAGTGAAGTAGGTAACTGATAATGATTACCGTAAAATGGGGTGTTAAGGGACGGTGGGGTGCTAAGGGACAGTTGCATGGGAAAAACTTCGAGTCCTATTAACTTCCTAATTTGAGAAGGTTCAATAAAAACTTCAGTGTGGTAGTTGACACTGTTTTGCTCTTGACCATAGAATACAATGGTATGGATTTTCATGCAAGTGATTTGGTTCAAAAATGGATTTGAAAATCATGCTACATTTTCACAAAATTGAAACATCTCCAAAACTCTGTGTGTACCACATAAACTAGTGGGTGTACAGGGAAAATGAATGCATAGGTGTATTGTCACATGTATTGCACATGTTTCCTGAAAAACTTGTGCAAATGCACCCATTCATTAATCATCCTCTTCCTCTTTTCCGGATACATGCATATTTTGAGGTGGACGTGGGGTGCTAAGGGACAGGGAAGAAAAAATAAAAAATAATATCTAAATATAATTTCATTAAAGGTAGTGTGCCACCTTTGAAAGATTTCCCATTTTATTTTTCCTAGGATAAGAAGCTTCTGTTTTTACCTAATATCGCAAAAAAAAATAAAAAATGGGCCTGGAATAGTGCCTTTTTCGCCTAAAAGTTTTTCGGTTTTTAGATATGTATAACAACTGTAGTGGGCTCACCTGCAAACAGGCGTCGGGCAACAATCGCGAATGCGGCGCACTTGTGACAATAAGCAAAGGTCATTATAGTGTTACGACCATACGACGTACGGGAATGAGTTATCAGCTGTCTTATCGTAGACAACACAATGTCGAGCCTTAAACTGTAAGCCCGTATTGGTATTGTTTCTTTTATTTGGCTGTCGAACATTATTTATGGTTTGAAATATGATTTTATGTAAAATAATTGATATGAAAAAGCCGTCTTATAAGTTATGACCCCATTTCACCACACGCAAGTGGCAGAAATGACAATGATCAGCTGACGCATTTTTCTTGGCCGAAGTCAGAGCGCGCGGCCCGACGCACCACGCGTATTTGGAAATTCCGACCTCGACGAGCATCAGAAGCCACCTAACAGGCGTGTTCGAAACCGCAGGAGATGATGATGAACGGGTTTATCGAAACTTGATTGGATGAGCATATCGGTAATAGCGATTTCAGTGTGTGCATTTATTGTTCATAGTGGTGTGAAATGTGGTTGGGGTACGACCGACAACCCGTCGGGGCGAATTTCGCACTGGGGTACTCAAAATTTGAAGAATTTAAGACGTTTCCATGAGTTTTGAAGGTATGGATAAGTTCTAAAAATCCGGTTCTCCTTATCTGGGCCATTAACTCCATACGGTCCAAGAAAGCTGGCACACTACCTTTAAGTTTTCTTTCAGTAGGCATGGAAAACACCAAATTCCACATAAAATGCTGGCAAGTTCATGCATTTATCTCTAACACATCTTAAGTTATGTAACAAAACATCTCAACACTCGCTTTTACAATGATGGGTCAATGGAGACTGATGTAGGTAAATATGATGTCATCATAAAAAGGCTAAAATAGAGAGGGCAACATAATGACAAGTGACTAGCTTCAACATGGGTTTTTATTGATGACAGAAGGGTACTTTTTTGTTCTGTTTACCTTATAATTAGCACATTTTCCACAAGCGTAAACTGCATTACACGTAAATGACTAAAAAGGTCATGAGTGGTGAATGAACCTGACTTGTTTTGTGACAGAATATGCAAAACATTTCAATAAATAAATTGTGTGCCCTTCCACACCCCAATTGTGGGCATTTGATGACCATTTCTTGGAATAATATAGGTGTCCCTTAACCCGCGAGTTGCTGGGGGGGGGGGGGGGGCGTTAAACGCCCCCACTTTTTTTGCCGGGCCATAGCATAAAAACGGCGCGCCGCAGGCGCGCCAAATTTTGGTTACCTGTAGGGAATTGATTGAAGTTTATTGTGACAAAGTTTGAAAAAAATCGGTCGGAAAATTTTTGAGATATCGAGGTTTTAGTGACGTCATGATTTCCGAGTTTTCGACCAAAAACGGCATATGTTCAAAAAATCATATAAAATCACAGAATAGACATACAGACATGCCGTAAACGCTATTAGACTGCCAATACCATGATCAATCAAATGGCTATCTTCGATTATTGATTATCGTTCCGCATTTTCCATAATCTTGAACTGAATCTTGACAATTTCTCGTAACTACTTCACGACCATGATACATGAATTTCTTAAATTGAACTTTTTGAGCCAAACACGTACACATATGATAAAATGAATGTCACCATCGTGTTCTACGCCCCAAATTACCCATAAAACATGTGTCACAGGCTGCGAATATCAGTTTTGATTTTCGGGGATACGTGCCTACCCGGTTGACCTGACCTTGACCCTGACCTATGCTTGACTGACCCCTACATGGAGCTGACACTCTTGTAGGCCTTATATGATGGATTGTGCACCGTTTTGACAGAGTTTATGACGAGAGGCGCCCATTGCGAAGTCCTGAAGTCCATGCTACTGAAAGCCCGATTTCAGGTGTTTGACCTGACCTTGACCCGACCTGTGACCTCAAAATTCAATTTTCAAGTACTCATCTGAAGCGTCTCGTCGCGCTCTTTCGTTTGCCGCCTCGTGCGTTTCGCTGCGCCTATTGGTTCTCGAGTTATCGGCTGGGGGCGTTTAACGCCCCCCCCCCAGCAAACGGTGGGTGGCGAAATACCCCAGCAACTGCCGGGTTAACACCCCACATTGGGGTGCTAAGGGACAGTGATGAAAAATAATAAAAAATAATATGCAGGTATAAATCATAAAAACTTTAATGTGGCAGGCATGTAAAGCACCAAATTCCACATAAAATGCTGACAATTTGATGCTTCTATCTCCAACCCTTCTTGAGTTATATAACAAAACACCTCAAAACTGTCCCTTAACACCCCATTTTACGGTATTTAATTTTTCATTATTTATTGCCAATTATATAACAAAATAAATAATTGAGTTTAAAAAGCAAAGTTGTACACACGCTAGCTGGCATAGATCTCGCTGGATAGTGGATAACATTCTTATGATAGCATACAATAGGTAGTTCCCAGAAAATCTGGAAAACCGAAGAAAACAACATAAAGGAAGTCCTGCAGGGCGCAGGCTGAAGCAAGGAAATGCAGAACGTACACATACATTCCCGAACAGTCACACAGCCTAAAAATCAAAATCATTGTTAGTTGATCCATTCATAAAAAGGCCAGTAAAAGTACACCCAACAGATCACTGAGAGCGACAGGTAGGAATTCAAGTTGCCAAGGGACAGAGAGTTGCCGTGGCGTTTCAGTTTCAGAACAACTCAGAGTTGCACCACGTTTCGCCGTTTCTATAATCTATAGCAGTGGTTTCACTCGCTTGCCGTTTGGATATTCCGCAGTATCCTTAAAAGAAATGCGCAAATTTACCTGAAAATAATATTTCAAGCCGACCAGACGAAATTACAAGCAGGAGACAAAAAACCAACACGTTTTAAAAATGCGGTCCAATGTTCTGAAAAAATCACGGCCCCGTGGGATACACTCCATAATAGAAACTTTCGCGCCACATACGAAACAATTCTGAATAGCCATATGCTACCAAATTCCTTTAAGGTTGAAAGGGAATTATCTACGCAATTGTGCGGAGAAAATAACGCAAATCGTCGACAACAGGGAGGCAAAGGGGAAAAAAACTTCTATGAACCTTATGAGGAGACTGGGAGGGGCCAGGGAATCATTCAAGCCAAATATCCTTACGAACCAGCTGTCGGACGGTTCTTTCCACGTGTCTCCTTTTCCATACTTCCTTTCCTAAGCCAGGAAAAGGAATTAGGCGATGCTTGAACTACCTGCCCGTCTGGCGTCTGCCATAATTTCGCCCAGCGTTCGATGTCTGAGTCTCGGACGACGAAGATTCTACGTCGTCCGGCCAATCACGTTCCATAACCGCAGCCGAGCCCCCACTGACTTTGAGCGCGATTGACCGGACGACGTAGAATCTTCGTCGTCCGGAGACATCGAGTGCGGGGTTGGTTTCTACTCCATTGGACCGGGTCCACGAATGGATCCATTCCCTGAGCAGGACTCACTCGCCGTCAGTGCCTGATCGCAAGCAAACGCCATATCGGATTTTGGGTAATTTATTTCGGAAATCCTCGAGAGCACAAACATAACACTTCATACACATACTGCACTGGGATGCACACGAAGCTTGGTGTGCCGAATTGACTCGAAGCCCCGTAACACAAAGCAAGTACACTAATTACTAGCTCCTCATCGATCGCATAGCTTTAGCTTAGGCCTTTGGCTTTGCAGACATCGATCGATCAACCTCTGCATCTTCCTGCCTAAGATAAGCTGTTAGACTTAAAAATGGCAATATCTTACAGTTCTGTGGCCAAGCAGAACAATCCAATACGCCAAATGAATAAAGCGCCAAATTCTTCACTGGGAGAGACTAGGCTATGATACCTGCTACATAGCAACCAACAGACAATTTAACTCTCCTGGCCCCTGGGCCACGAAGGACTGAGAAAACATCGCAAACGTTCGTTCGCTTGTATCTTCGCTCGGCAGGTAACATGAATTCGTCCTCGACCAATCACGAGCGTAGAATATCCTTGATTCCACCAATCAGATCACGGGCGGCCACCGACAGCCCAATGAGAGCAGCCAGCGTCGGGCTTGGCCCCGCCTCTCGCGTGCCACAGCCAATCACGGTCCACCATTGGCCAGCACACACCAATCACGGCTCAGTTTTCAGTCACGTGGCTCACTTCCGCCGGCCACCGCCGCCGGCGAGGATCATGGCAATCCGCATGAAGATGTTGATCGTGTCCAGGTAGATCGACACCGAACTGAGAAAAAAAAAACACGGAAGATGCGTAAATGGCAAGCGGTGAAAGGCAGGCTTGAAAGTCTGTGTCAAAAGTCACAAATCACACAAAGTCACACGCACAAATGAAAACAGGCTTTGCGAGCATGATAAAATAATATAATGAGACTGCTTCTATAGCATAATACTTTCATAGCACTTCCGAAAAATATGGCGAATTAATATTTTCAATCGAAAATATTTTCTTCGTCTTAAGTTTCATTTTGTAAAACGAAAACACAGGAAATAAAAAGAACGCATACCATTGAACAATAATTACTGGGTTGCTACTCATCTGTTGAATAAGGCTGATTTTCTACCACCCTCAGTCGTCAGCCCCCCCCCCCCTACCACCACCATTCCCTTCCACCTTCACCTACAAACCACTACAACATCATCTGCCACTCACGCGTTGATGGGGTCGAACGGCTTCTGGGCGATCATGGGATAGTGCTCAGCCTTCTTAATGATCCTCTGTGTATCGTACAGCAGCATCATACTGAAGAGTACCAGTCCACCGTACATTGCCAGCGAGTACACTCCGGCACCCAGGGCCGTGGTGGGCGGCAGGAACATGCTGCCTGTAGGGGGTGAAATGAAACTGTGAGACGCCGTGGTATGAGCGGTCAGAATAATGTCCCGTAGATCAGTCAGTAGAACCACAAAATATATAGTGTGCGACATAGTCATGTCGACATACGGCGCCATGTCGTAGACTATATATTCCATCGTAGAACTGATGGCTTTAGTTACTTGGTGAGTTTATCATTGTGCCTATCAAAGAATGGTGACACCGATGGTAGACGGTTATTTAGGCGTATCGGGTATCATGACGCGTCCTTACAATCATACTCCACTAATTGTCTAAACTGGAAAGGGGCCGAAAAATAATTGAAGTGTGCTCTCAAAAAACATGTGAACTCAAATCGAACGCTCGTACACACATTTCATTGGACGATAAACCACCAATATGATAGGACAAACCACACAACATTTTGTGAAAAATATATCCAAGCACAAATAATCCTGGCTAATCCTGACTAATTCGCTAATTCTGACTCACCGATCGAAGCGCAGAACACCACGCCAAAACCGATGGCCAGCGGGCCGCCCATGTTGAGAAACTTCTCACTGGGAGCACAAACCGCCACTGTGGAGAGGCCGCCCACCACGCCGGCGGTGTACCTGATAGAGGTCACACAGAGGTCATATAGAGGTCACACAGAGGTCACACAGAGGCCATATGGAGGTCATACAGAGGTAATAAAGAGGTCAAACAGAGGTGAAGCTGAGTCGATGTCATCATGCGCCCAAAAATTGGATTATGCATGAGTAATTCAGCATCCAGAAAATCCATCATGTATGGCCGAGCGCAAGCGAGTATGTTCAGGGTAATTTGGATTGCAGAATGATTTAACTCATAACAAAAGTGTAAAAGTTCAGTAAAACTCAGTAAACAAAGCCAGAACCAGAACAGGTTCATTAAATAATGGATTCCACAAGCTACTCAAAACATTAAATTGTCAAATTTGGGCAATAAAATGCTTCGAAGTTACGCTATCTATAACTTTGATGATCTCTGTTGGCATCTAGCTCACCAGGCTCACTCACCAGGCAGCCCTCATCAGCAGGGGACCTCCAAGCATGGCCAGCGGCGCCACCACTGCGCCAATCACGCCGCAGTGCAGCAGCCAGGCCATCTGCTTGGTGCCGAAACCCTCCTGGTACGGGATGGAGCGGACCAGCATTCCCGAGCCGATCATAGCCGCGAACGAGGCGCCGATGGCCTGCGAGAAACAGAGACGGGTGATGTATTTTGAATGGTGTGCATGATGGACGAAATGATAGTTTGGATGCTGTGAGCATCGGACGTAAGCGGTGCACGTGAATATTGAGCACTCGTGTAAACATGGACACCGGGCAATAGTGATTCCTCGCAACGCAAAGAGGTTGACTGCTGGATATAAAAATGAAAATGACACGTTATTTATCATTTCTGCGATGAAAACGCGAGAAAGCAATCATACGTTGCTAAAACTCATGGACCAAAATTCCTCAATATTGACACCGATAAGTGAGCTGAAAATAGATAGATGTGAGCGAAAATGAGCACGGTTTGGACAAGTTTCGGAACCATGAAAAAATCGTGTGCATCCTTGCATTCTGCCTGGACACTTTCCAGCATATAACTCCAATGTCCTTAACAAACTAATCAATATCACGCCCACTGTCTCTCACCAGCCAGCTATTTTTGGTGACCAGTCTCATCATGGCCGGCGAACGGAAGATGGCCACGGCTGAGGCCGCCGTCACACCCACACTGGCGCCGAAGTACATGTAGGTGGCCTTGACACGATCACGGACGTACTGCGGCCACAGGCTGCAACGGAACGGAGGTCAGGTCAATGGGAGCGTGAAAGGCAGTCAAATCACTGATTTTCATAGATAAATGTATGATTGAATGCAAGAATGGAACGATGAACGGTAGCGAATGAATGAATGAGTTACGACGGAGGAATGGATACGGTACATCGTAACGTATGAATGGATGAGTTCATGAGGTCATGGTAATGAAAAAAGCAAATAACGAATGACGAATGAATGATTGAATGAATGAATGAATGAATGACGAGTGATAGTGGCAAAGTAAAACGATGACGAAAGAACAAAACAATGAATGAATGAATGGATGAATGGATGAATGAATGAACGAATGAATGAATGAAGGAAGGAATAAAAGCACTATAAACTCTCAAAACGTTATCAAGGTCACTCACACGGCCTGGTCGATGGCGCCCATCTCGCTGGAGAGGCCAGCCCCGTAATAGCAGAGAGCTCCGATACCGACCACCGAGGCGCCGGCCACCAGGCCCCGGCCGGCGGTGAATGCTGCCGGAGAGGAGAGGGATGGTTACTGGGGGGTCATGGGGTCAACAGAGTGGGGCGGTTACGGAGGCGGGGGACGGTTGGGGGAGAATGAGGCTATGGGGTCAGCGCGGGTTCTGGATTTTGAATCGCAAACGACCAGAGGAGGAAAGTCGAAACCGTCGGGACAGCCACGGGAAAAGCTGCATACAACATCGGACAATACAAAAAACTGCTGATATCTTCGAAAGACTTCCAAAGTTTACAGAAAGATTGATGGCTCACTGAGATAAGATGTCTGATGAGATAAAATAATGAGATGTCTCCCTGATTACGACTCGAACCCACCTCCCTCTCCGGCCGGCGCCATGACGCGCTGTCCGAGCGTGGCGCGGCGCGCGGCGCGCCGCGTCTCGGCCGTCCGCGCCTGATTGGAGAGCAGTCGGCGCGCCGGCGCGCCCACCTGCAGCCGAGCAGCAGAGCGCGCCAGACTGGATGGCGCCACCAGCATCGTGACTCGTGACAGCAGCATGGTCGTTGAGTTCTGAAAAGTCAGATAGAAATATAAATTATTTTCTTGATGGAAGTGGATTTCAGATTTCCTGACACAGCGATTCAGAGGAATCCTGAACCAGGGTTGCAGAGTCAGAGTTCATTTTTGAATTTTGGAGGCAGGAGTTGGAGTCAGATTCGCCAAAATTGCATTGACTCTGCAGAATTACCAGGGCTGCAGAGTCAGGCATTGAATCATCAACAGTTCTGCCTTGATTGAGTCAGAGTCAGTGTCAAGTTTAGGAGGCTAGAGTCAAGTTGCAGTCACCAAAAATCCATCATAAAACAATGTTGAAATCTTAATTTGAGTTGCTTCAGAGCTTGCTGCTTGGTCAGTGGCAGTAGCTGTGGTACAGACCAGTGCCCACTTGAAGTCATGTGAGCAGGGACTAGAGAGGGCTCAAGAACTGTTACGCAGACATCATTTTTGTTTTATTGGGTTAGGCTTTTGGGACTAACGGGACAAACACATACCAGGATGATAGGGGCTAGGGGAAACAATGCAGCTGCTCGGGTCAAGCCCATTTCAGTAGGCGGAACTATGGTCATGAGTACCCAAATATAGGAACGTTCCCATTTTTGGGAACGGAGTTCCCAAATATGGGAACGGGCGTTCCCATTTATGAGAACGGAAGGCAATTTTTTGGCCGTTCTCCCACTAAAACTCAAAAGTGCATCACGTCTCAAAAAAGTGCACGCTAATTTAAGTATCTACTAAATCTCCATAAAGTTATCTTTAATCTGACCGTGGAACAAGGAAATTGACCGTGGAATGATATTTTTAATGATTTTTTGAAAATGACAGAATGGTGGAAATATGGGTTATACGACATTTAGCATGCAATTTTAAGGAAAATGAAGCATTTTTTTAGTTTGAGGTAAAGTATAATAATTTTCGCCTGGTTATGAACTTTCATACTATCGACACCAGATGCTGACAAATGCAAGCGAAGACGCGGACGGTCCCGAGGTAATATTGTTGACTTTTGTGTCGGGGCGGACGACCGCGTGGAACGTGAGTGAATTTACCGAGCTACTGTTGTAAACTCAGTTTAAGCGGTTGAAAATTATCCAGCTGTATTTTATCATCCCGGAAAGACATATTTTATTTGGATGCTAGCTGTTTAGAGTTGTTTTATAAGGAGCGTCATGAGCGTGGTTTTTGTCTTCCGTGTTTCTAAGCGTGATCGTTTTGGGGGAATTTCTCCTATATAGCTCGCTCTGTGTGGCTTATTTATAATTTTTATGCTGATTTCGATAATTCCTCGTGCCCATCCTACCAGGCCTTTTGCCACTTACACTCATCAAGAAAGGAAAAAACTAGATTTTCATTGGGACTAGGTGTTTTGAGGGTGTAACATATTCAGCGTTCCCATTTTTGGATACTTCCTTGTACTCGTCAACTATCGGTGATAAACAGACAGGTGCTTGACATGTCTCCACCCTCAGCGCGGACGGTGGATATAGGTATGGAAGACCTTGTTGAACATCGCTGAGCGTTGTGAATTACGTAATCCTGCAGAGGGGGGCGTGCCCGCTGCGAGATCGACGGGAATAAAAACGCAGAAGACCGGGCGAAACATGCGACGGTCTTGCCGGAAAGGTCATCTGATGATTGTTGCGTTAACAATAATTTGCGGCGTTGGACGTGATGCTTGTTAATGAAAAGAGCCCCTAAAAGGCGTCGGTGAAATCGTTCCCAATTTTGGGTACGCCGTTCCCATAATAAGGAACGCTTGCAGCGCCAGTGTACGAGAGCGTTCCCAAATTTGGGCTCGCGGCCCGGATGATGGACTGCTTTAGAAATAGGGGAACGATTTGAAACTACGATGGGCCTTACAATATCAAACTCTTTCCCAACAATATTGAGACAAATATCAGGCGGTTCACGGTCGTTTTATATTTTTTGGACTTCATTTAACGGTTCTTTTTCTTGTTTTAAATAATGCCTACATGGCGTTCCCATATTTGGGAGAATTAAGTCATAAGTATTCGGAGTGCCTACCAAGTGCCTACGTACCGTGCATTGCCATCAATGTACAGTTCATCATGACTGAACGGCCGTACAATTTGTGTTAAACGCTGCTTCCCTCTGAGTTCCACGGGTACAGTGAAGGATAGGTACAAAATTGGGTAATTAGCATGTCTGTGTACACACCATCCTATCAGATGTATTATGAGAATATTTAAATCCTTATCCTCTGTGCTTATGTGCCTCATATTCTTGTTCCTCGGTATCAATTATCAGCGGCCACCATGCGCTGAATTTGGCACTCATGAAGTAGCGCTGGATGTGTGCTGACATTATTGCCGCAACCCGCTACCCCAGAACCCAGACATATTCAGCATAACATTTCTTTCCAGTCTGGGATAGGACGGTGGACAGTTGCTTTGATCTGGACGCCAGATCAAGGCGACTCCAACTCTGGCATGCCAGGGTCCTCGCTGGAGCTGGCGATGGGGCTGGTGGGGTAGCTGTGACCTGAGCTGAGCAGCCAGTCCAGAGAAATCAGTAGGCGGAACTATGGTCAAGCGTACCCATTTTCGGGAACGCATTTTTTTAAGGCTGACTCTCGGAGGGGGCGGACGTGTCTCATCGAGCTCCGTGGTCGACACTGTTTAACCTTAGAGGCCGTAATCCGATGAAGTCTGAGGCACAAAAAGTCCTTTTCTAAGAAGAAATACCTACTTTCGCACGGTAGTGATTTCCATCGAAGGCAGCATGCCAACTCTAGCCAGGTCTCCGGTCCCGACTCGTCGTAAAGCTGCGGCTCTACCGTCCTCGGCCGCGCCAACGGCGCCATCGTCTCAAGGTCAGGCGCGGGCGTTGGATTCGTCCCGTGATGCGGAATGTGAAGAAAAACCGAAGGAGGTAGGTGCCGAAGGTGCTGAATCTGAGTCTACAAGTAAAGTTGAAGAATGTGTTGCTGATGGTGGACCTGTCACTGAACGCCAAAAAGGTATGGACAGCGCGGTAAGCGGCAAAAATGTCGGTAAGCTAGATGAGTGTCTACAGGAAGTGGGAACCCGGTTGTAGCCCTGCTTCGTTCTCTCGGTCTTCCAGCGACACCAGTAACGAAGGGGCTATCTGCAAAGGAGGCCCTGGCAAAGCTGTATGCGGTGAGCCATTTCAGGATGGTGAAGCTTGCGTGCTCTGTGACAGATGTCACGACTGGTACCATTCTTCGTGCCAGGGCATCTCAAAACCGGCAATGAAGGCTCTCGATCGGTTCAAAGTTCTTGCCTGGTTATGTGTGAGCTGCAAAGGTGAGCTCAAGAAGAGTAAGTCGCTACGTCCCCCTCTGTCGTCACTTGCCAACAAAGTGGAGAAGCTTGACGAGACTATCCGTAAACATGTCACTGAGGTTAGTGCTTCCCTGAAAGCTCATCAGACCATCCTGGAAAATCAAATCAGAGCAACTGACAAAATCCACAAAGCTCAGGAGGCCGAACTTGTTCGTCAAGCTAACCTCATCAAAGAGTCCCTGAAGGAAAGTTCGCAGCAGAAAACATCATATGCTGATGCATTGAAAGGAACATGTGCCGAGGTGGTGAAGAAAGTGAGTGACCAAATCTCCTCTCTCCCAGGTTCAGCAGTATCAGGAGGTAAAAAAGCTGCCCATGACCTTACAGGAGTCCTCGATGAGTTTATGGAAAAGGAAAAACGGAAAGCAAACTTGGTGGTTCACAACTTACCTGAGCAGGTAGGACAGTCCAACGCTGAACGTGCAAGGAATGATTCTCTTCTGTTCAAAACAATGATCAAGGATGAAATGAAATTGATTGTGGAGGTGACAAATTCATTCCGTGTAGGGAGACGCGTCTCAGATAAAGCAAGGCTGCTGATAGTCACGCTTGAGCACCCAGCAGCAAAACATGACATCCTAAGACTAGCCCCTCAACTGCGCCACTCCAACAAGTATGTCAACATATATGTTTCACCTGACCTGACCAGAAAGGAAAGAGAGCTGAACAAGAAACTGAGAGAAGAGCTTAACAACCGCAAAAGGGCAGGTGAACAAAACTTGGCCATCAGAGGTGGGAAGATTGTCAGGATACAAGCTGAAACAACAAACACCACAGCTCTACATCCCAACAGTGGTGAAGCTGGCAACTCTGGGGTCATCCGCCCCCAGGCTGATGCAGTGGACCTGAGGGGGCCGGCCAACCCCCAAAATGACAGTATCATTGTCCCTCCTGCTCAAACTCTGCAGGGTGATGCCAAGGAGATCAAGGGAGCCAGGGTGAGAGGAGTGGCTGTTCCCCCAAGTGGGTGTAGCAGAGACCATCCTGCTCAAACAAGTCCCCAGGCTGACCCTCCTCTAGGCACCACAATGGGTGGAGCTAATGCCCTATCTGAGGGAAGAAACAATGACCATCCGACTCAATTGCCCCCACAGGAAGCTGCTCAGACCAAGGGGGCTGGGACGAGAGGAGTGGCTGTTCCCCCAAGCGGGTGTATCAGAGACCATCCTGCTCAATCAGCTTCCCAGGTTGACCCTCTGGCTGCGCTGCCCAGTCCTGCAGTGGGAGGTCCTGCTGTTCTGTCTGGGGGCGGAGGCTGTGGAGACATCCCTGCTCGAGCAACCCCACAGGAAGTTGTGCAGGCTGAGCAAGCTGGGGCGAGTGGACTGGCTGTTCCCCCTAGTGGGTGTAGCAGAGACCATCCAACTCACAGTGGCCCTCACGCTAATGCTCTGTCCACACAGAATGGCGGGGGTAACACACCTGCTCAAGGTATATGACTTGGAGCGACGACAGTGGACTGGAAGAAGAGCCTGAAAGTCTTATATACTAATGCTGACCAGTTCCCAAATAAGAGGGATGAGCTATGCATGAAGATTGCTGGCGATGAACCTGATGTCATGCTAATTGCAGAGGTCATACCCAAAGCACAAGTAATTCCCATCTCTCTCGCACTTTTGGATGTGCCTGGTTACTCCATGTATCCAAGCTTTGACCCTCTCCAGCCCAAGCTAGGATCTAGTAGCCTTCGAGGTGTTTGCATCTATGTAAAGAATGACCTGCAAGTCTCAGAGCTATCTTTTGGCCTGAACACATACATTGAAAATGTTTGGGTACAACTTACTCTGGAAGGTTGCGACAAGCTCCTGATTGGATGTGTCTATCGGAGTCCATCACACCATCCGCAGGAGAGCACTGATGAACTATGTCAGCTCTTACGCATGGCCTGCGCTTCTATGCCATCCCACTTTCTCGTCTGTGGTGACTTCAACCTACCACATATTGATTGGGAAAATTTGTTTTCCTCTGCCCCAGCTGAAGACCATTCTCATGCTTTCCTGGAAGCTCTTAACGATTGTTACCTCTTTCAAAAGGTGACCCTACCGACACGCTACCGCACTGGTGAGACACCAAACATCCTCGATCTTATTCTGACACTGGAGGACGGCATGGTGCAGAACTTGAGGTATGAAGCGGGCTTAGGTAAAAGTGACCATCTCATTCTTCAATTTGATGTGCTCTGCTACTCTTCCCGCAACAACTCTCACATGAAGCACCCTAACTATTTCAAAGGGAACCCTGCAAGGTTTATCGCCCTGGTGGAGGAAGTTGACTGGAGCTCTGCCGACGACCACAGTGTGGATGAGCAGTATACGTTTCTGTGCGAGTCCTTGCTCAAAGCTGCCAAGGTCTGTTTCCCCACCAGTAAGAGAAAAAGTAATCGCAAGAACATTTACATAAATGGGCAGGCCCTACGGCTGAAGAAACGAAAAGAAGAGCTGTGGAAAATATATGTGTGTTCAAAGAATATCATTGACTACACCAGGTACACTCAGTGTAGAAACCGGTTACGGAAGTTGACAAGAAACCTGAGGAGGGACCTGGAGATCAGCCTAGCCAGAAACGTCAAAGAATGCCCGAAAGCCTTTTGGCGCTACTCCAACACTAGGATCCGAACAAAAGCCAGGCTCGAAAACCTCAAAGATGACTCCGGGCTGGTGGTAAGCGATGATCTCGGGAAAGCGCACCTCTTGAATGCCTTCTTTAGCAGTGTTTTTACAGCCGAAGACGTCTCACAGATTCCCGAACCACCCTCACAGTACGCTGGCCGTCCGTTGGAAACGATCCAGATCACGTCCGAGGCTGTGAGGAGGAAGCTCGAGACCCTGAAGACGACTTGTGCACCGGGCCCTGACGGCTTACACCCGAAGCTCTTGCAACTCGCATCCCGGCCACTAGCTGGTCCACTTGCCTCCATCTATCGTGCCTCTCTCGATCAAGGCGTTATTCCCGACTCTTGGAAGGCGGCAACGGTCATTCCCATTCACAAGAAAGGCAGCAAGCAAACTCCTGGTAACTATCGTCCCATCAGTCTTACGTCGATCCCGTGCAAAATCCTCGAATCACTGATCCGGGACGAACTCATGGATTTCCTATGCTCAACAGACCAGCTCTCCAAGCACCAGCACGGGTTCCGCCCACGGAGGTCCTGCAACTCGCAACTCATTGAGGTACTGGACGACTGGAGTAAGATGATTGAGCAGGGGAGCCCAGTTGATACAGTTTACCTTGATTTTCGCAAAGCCTTTGATGCGGTCCCTCACAAGCGCCTTCTATTGAAGCTTCGTAGTCTTGGTGTGTCAGGCAACCTTCTTCAATGGATCGATGCTTTTCTCTCCGATCGGAAGCAGCAAGTCTCCGTCAACGGTCACCTCTCTGGCTGGTCTGCCGTCTCAAGTGGAGTGCCGCAAGGCTCGGTCCTCGGTCCGCTCCTGTTCCTTGCTTTCATCAACGATATGCCCGCTGTCGTCGACTGCATGGTGAAAATGTTCGCGGACGACACAAAAATCTACCGCAGCGTGTCAGCACCCTCGGAAGCGGCATCTCTGCAAGCCGACATTGATGCTGTGGTGGCCTGGTCTGACAGATGGCAACTTCCCTTCAACCAGGACAAATGCGAGGTTCTTCACCTAGGCACCAACAACGCTCAACTCCAGTACACGATGCGAGGGGTCAACCTGCAAGTGGCTGAAACCGTACGCGACCTGGGCATCCACGTGGACCCTAACCTCAAGTTCAGAAAGCAAGCAGCGGCGGCGGCGGCAAAGGCGAACCAGATCCTGGCGGTTGTCAGACGATCGTTCGAGCATATTGACGACTTTACACTCCCTCTGCTGTACAGAGCACTTGTTCGCCCCCACTTAGAGTATGGTAATGTTGCTTGGGGTCCTTTTAACCAAGCCGACCAACTCCTGATCGAACGTGTTCAGCGGAGAGCCACTCGTTTAGTCAGCTCTATCAGACACCTGCCATATGAGGAACGACTAGAGGCACTGAAGCTTCCATCACTATTCTACCGAAGACGTCGCGGGGATATGATCCAAGTGTACCAGGTTCTCCACGGCGGAATGGACCTGCTTCCAGAGGACTTCCTCACTCTTGCAGCAGTCCAGCGCACCCGCGGTCACCCGTGGAAACTCCTGAAGCCGAGGGCCGAATCAAGACCGAGAAGACAAGCGTTTGGTGCGCGGGTAGTGAACGACTGGAATAGTCTCCCCCTCTCGGTCGTGAGCGCTGCCTCTGTAGACCTCTTCAAATCCAGGCTGGACGCCCACTGGGCAAACATCAGGTACTCAGTGCCTGACTGAGTTTTGACATTCAAGTTGCCTCGAGCTCGATGAGAACGGTACCCCACAGGCCAAAGAGCCTTTCAAAATTCTGATCAAAGTAAGGTAAGGTAAGGTAAGGTAATTCTCATGACATTTGAGGTAACTTACCAGCCTTGGATATAGACCTCTGAAAAAGCTAATTAATTAGATCAACTCAAAATCCCCCTAGCCAATCCACAAACTTCCAAAAATCTCACGAGAGCATGACTGCGCAATTTCGAACGCAGTCGCGTCTATTTTGTATCGAGCTATCTATTGCATAATGGTTCTAGTAAATTCTGAGAAAATAATCAAAGCAAAATGATTTAAAAAAGAGAATTTACAAATAAAACTCAATGGCATAATAATTTTATGAATATCATTGATGAGTAACTTTTTGATTTTGCAAAAATATGATTTTTGCTCTCAAAGCTGACGTGTCTTCGATTTTACTTCTTGATAAAAGATGTTTTGACGCTCCTGCGACATTCAGTTTGTTTACGTTCTTTTCCAGAGCCAGCTTGAGCTCGGCTGCACTCGTCGTCGCCGTTGGATTGGATGGACTGTGGGTGCGTACTGTTCTTCGTGTATTTTTTTTTTTCAAATGATGTATACAGTTGAAAAAACAGCATAAATAGTTCAAATACTTTCTTTACTGAATGTTGCAATCAAGGCCCTATATACCGTTGCAATACAATGTGCGTACACGGTACAGGTCAGTGGTAGAGTTCAGTGGTACAGGTACTTTCTGTGGTTGCCTTGCCATTGATTTTTCACCGTTTTTGTTTTTGTTTCCAGATTGATGATATTGTATGCAAATGGAGCTATTCAAGAGTGGCCTCAAGACAGTCCTGGGTCACTCGGAGCCCAGCCCAGAACTGTCTGGTGCTGAGACGGTATGTACTAAGTACTGGTACCTTTATGTTTGTAAATGAGCTTTAATCACAATTATTAATGACAAATAAAGGTTTCATTGTAATTAGTGTCACACCTTATGGTGGTGTGAATAAAATTAGAAATTCCATTTAGGGCCTGCTTTCACTGCTATACATCATAGTAAACGTGCAATGCGCCATGCACCAGTGGCTGCTGCCTAGGGTGGCACTTAGCAATAGGGTGAATTTTATGTCATCCGATTTTTAGGCGTGCGGGTAGTTTTCTGGTTCCATTCCCGTAAAAAATAATGTGTGCAAAATGATTTTGAAAAATATTGATATCTAGGGGTCGCGAATTGAGGTCAAAGTTGACATTTTTGGGGAAAAAATCAACTTCTTGGAAACTACTTTAAACCTATTTGGAATGACATACATGCTCAGTAAGCGTCATTTCCGACGTATTTTGACCTTTATTTGTGTAACAATTGTTTATCCCATCACTTCCGGCCGATTGTAGCCAGTCCAGGTCAGGCCAAGACAGGTCTGATCTGGGCTGTTTTACCCATGTCAGGCCTGTTTTGGCCTGCGACCGGTGCCTTCTCACAGTGGAGGTCATATCCTCTGATTAGTGTGAGGAGTGATCGGTCTCTCCTGTTCCAAAGGGAGGACGAGCCCCACGGTTCTATCGGTTCTTGAGACATGCTACTTTTCTTTCAAAGAGAATGTTAAGAAGTTGGAGTCAGTCTATCGCCGGCGGGCGAAAGCAGAGGCGAGAGTGTGCATTGAGCTGCACTGGTTTATTGTTCTTTCGGGACGTTCTTCCGTGGGCGCTACTTCCGACTCTAGCAACAGACTTACCTGGCCGCTGCGGCGCGCACACGGAGGGAACGTCTTTGACGATGGCGACCATGAGAGAGAAACGTCGACTCACTCCCAAGCGCATGCGGGCGAGCGGACGTCCCCAACAGTGAACTGGCCTCGACCGGGCCAAACTGCCCAACCGTAATGTGTGAAGAACACGTGAACCTGTTATCAACTGCGGCATGGAACTTAGGATACGACTCCGGCTGAACCGCGAATCCTGAACTACGAGAGAAGGAGCGTCGACCGATTCTAGATCCTGGTGATGGGGAGGGGGGGAGGGATTGGAGTGGCCAAGCTCCTCGCCGTTCCCAACCTCCCCTCCATCCAAGCACAGGAGGCCATGCTCACAGCGCTGGGGGACTAAGAACTGGAGAAGCGGAACTGCGGCCCTTTGCTTCGACGCCACGACGGCGAACAGCATGCTGGTGAACGGTACTTTAGCCCTTATCGAGCAGAAGCTGGATCGGCCCGTCCTCCAGCTGGCCTGCCGGCACCACGTGTAAGAGCTGGTCGTAGAGAAGGCCTTCTCCACCTGCCCTAGAATCTCGAGCGGCCTCTAACTACATCCGGCTGTTTAAGAGGTTCAAAGGCGGGTGGGAGTTCATACTTCATTGACAGTATCACACCGATGGCGTTCGCCGTCGACGACCTTCCGGAGTGGGAAGATCTGCTGGTCGGCTTCCATCGCTTCCATCGCTGGACTATGCCTAGCTCCGGGAAGACTACCGAAAACTTCTGGAGCTCTGCGTAATTGCTCTCGGTGGAGTTGTTCCAAGCACGGCATCCGTTTCTCCGCCTCAGAGTACTCCACTGAGTTAAGTGGATGGCAAGGACCATCCGCACTGTGGATGCCTTCCTCTTCAGGGAGCGGCTCCGGCTGACGGCGGCCGAGGCCCAGGTCATCAGACGCTTTGCGCTGTCCGTTGCCTGCAAGTTTGCCGCCGCCGCCGCCGCCGCCTGGTTTGGGACTCACTGCCACTGCGCCGGCTCTGGACCTGACCTTCGTGAACTCGTTCTGCACCTACCCCGACAAGGAGCTGTCGAAGGCGCCAGTACCGGTCTTCGGCCGTCACCTGTAGTACTTGAGCGATCGGCTGGTGACTCTGGAGCTTTTAGACCCCGACCCTCGGGCTCAATCAAGACATGGTGCGGGCAATAGACTTGTAGGAGAGGGAGGACGAGGACCCGCCCCATAAGTCCTTAGTGGACACTATGAACGCCGCTCTCGCGACCGAGACGTTGGCGAGCTTCCTCACACCATCATTCAAAAAGCTCTCAAGGATCTATGACCTGGACACGGGGCTCATAATCAATGACCTAGGCCACTGGGAGGACAGCAGCTACCAAACCGCAGCTCGTGTAGTCCGGGAGCTGCGGATGGCGAATGACTTCACCAGGCGCGGTATGGCGCTGATGTAGGACTGGCACTCATGAAAGACAAAGATTAGCGCCAGTTCTTCCTCCATGTCGTTGAAAAGATCACAGAAAACGCTAACCTGACACAAATTACTAACCAGGCTACACACAAAGTGATCTCGGTGCCCGTTGCCCATGATACCCCTCCCTCCTATGAGGCGCCAATTATCTATCTACTAAAGAGGAGGAACTGGTAGTGGAGTACATAGACCAGCGTTTTGGTGTGACCGAAGCTGCATGAAATATCAATAAACAATATGAAAATTACTAAGAAATGCCTTATTATCATCCGATTACAGCTAATAGGAGAGTCAGAAACGATTTTAATGATATTGAAATATGCTACCAAAATCTCAATTTTGACCTTGATTCGCGACCTCCAAACATCAATATTTTTCAATAGAAATTTGCCTCCCTTATTTTTTACGGGAATGGAACCGGAAAACCACCCGCACGCATTTAAAATCAAAAATTGATTTTTAAGTGCCACCCTACTGCTGCCCACACCAACAAGATCTTATTCTTGACCGCTGACCATGCCAACGTGTTGCTGTCTGGCCAGACATCAACCATCGGATTGAGAAAGCCTGAGCTGTTGCTGGAAGAATTTAAAAGCTGAGTTCAGTTTGTCTACAGAACCACACATAGTCTGACCCACTGGATGACGTAGGATATATGGTCCGGGCCCGGGGTCCCATTGCTGTTTATAGCAACATCCCTGTTCCTGGTGATACAAGTAATAAAGTGCCATTGCGACCTCCCATAACACCAGTCAGTGCTGTGGAGACTGAGTCAGTGGCGGTCGGAGCGTAGAAGCCAGAGCTGGAGTCAGTCTAAGTCACTGAAATTTCATCGATTGCGCAAACTTCCAGGACTGCGACAGAAGCACTGCTACTACACTGAAACTCTCCACCCCGTCCCGACAGCATGGGAGAGCCCAACCCGATTGTATGAAATGGGACCAGACATTCCCTCACACCGTCCAGCCCAAGGCCATATAGTCCAGTCGGCCGCCCGGTGGCTCTGATAGCGCGCGGTGCGATAAGGCGTTTCCGCCTGCGCGTGACGCTAAATTCTTGCCCATATTGACACCGGCCGGTCGTCGGGCGTAACACGGTCCACTTCAAGCCGGTTGGGGAGCCCCTAGCAGTTATTATTCTTCGTTTAAAAGGGCATCGTTAAACTCAGAAAGAATGTCTCACCACATGAGCCATTAGTCCGCATACTTTTCCGAAATCCGTTTTTAACAACTCTCTTGCGGAGTGGGTCGGAGTCGATAGTTCTGCCTAGATTTCGAGTTGGAGCGCGAGTAAATTTGTGGATGCTGGAGTCGGAGTCGTAGGTCGGAGTCAGAGTCACTGAAAACCCATTGACTCCGCAGCCCTGACGCCAGTGACAAGTTGCTGTCAAGTATTTTAGTGGTGCCCCCCCCCCGCTCCTTGTGACGTTATTGACGCCCGGTCCCCGAAGACATAAGTAGTGTGTTGCCGCCCCCCCCGTGACGTCACTGACGCTGTCTGCAACGTCCAGGTGGAGCGTCTGGTGGAGCGATTACGATCGTCCACCCTGCTGGAGGACAGGCGCGATGCGTGCCGCGGACTCAAGGCCATGTCGAAAAAGTTTAGGGTGGAGGTCGGCGCCCAGGCCATGAACGATCTGGTCGAGGTGAGAAGAGGCGAAACCGGAGAAAGTTTGGAGTCAGTCACTGCCCTTGAAACAATGGTCGTTGGCGAAATGTTTGTTATGTTTAAACGGCAAAAATAAAATTGTTCTTGTTGTTTGGTTATGCGGTAAATGTTGCGAACCTTATAGTTTTGTAAATTGTGTTGGTTACTGCGCTAATTTGTAATGTCTAGTATGACGTATGATAAAATGATTTAATGAGCACTAACTATTACTAGCGTGATCCATAATACTGGTGCCGAAACCCGGGAGCGACATTAGGGACCACGCTCTCCAGGCTCCAACAACCGATTCCCGGGTTTCGGCACCAATGATAGGTCAGTAGGATCTGCTGATGTCTATACAGCTCCCATTTAGTTACTTTCTATGCCCATCTGGTTTTATATCTGCACAACAATACGATAACCTCTCTTACCTTCACCATTCAGGTTCTGGTGAACGACAGCAGCGACATCGAGATAGCCAGCTACGCTCTGGACGCCCTGTGTAATATCACATGTCGCGAACCGTTCGACGAAGAAGAAGGTTCGTAGAAGATTTATCTGTTTGTTGATGTTTGTCGATGTAATAGTTTGCCTGGCTGGATGTTAGCATGTAGGTTAGGTTGGTGGCCGTGTAGTTGGTCATCGTGTCAGTTATTCAGTTTGTCAGTCTGTCTGTCATCCTTGGCCGTCTACATCGGGCCGCCGCCGCTGGTCGGCCCGGCGACCGCCCCGGGCAACGACCTGTCACGGCGCCTGACACGGGCGGCGCGAGCGGCCGCACCAGGGGCGGCAGAGGCGGCGGCAGGAGGCGCGGCCGGCGGGGCGGAGTAGACTGGCGGCGGCACGGCGACGTGAGTGCGCAACAGCTCATTATTGGTCACCTGAACATCCAGTCGTTGAAGCCCAAGATGCCCGAGCTCTGTAGCGACATCGACCGAACGTACGGCTTTGATGTCCTGGCCCTTGCTGAAACCTGGTTGACACCGAACGTACCTGACCGTCTTCTCCCGGTGAGCGGATATAAACTGTTTCGCTGCGACCGCCCGAGCCGTTCGCACTTGCCGAAGGGTAAGGGCGGTGTCGCTGTGATGGTTCGAGACAGCTTTAAGTGTGAGCAGCTGAAGACGCCTTTCACCGGTGATGTTAACACGAACCTTGAGATTGTTTGGGTTTTGGTGCACGTCAGTAAACGTCAGTCGCTATTGGTTGCATCAGCCTACAGAGTGCCTTCAAACAACACACAGCAAGTGTCTGCCGATTTAGAGTCACTTGAGAACCAGATGCAGTTTATGCTTGCCAATTACCCTCGCTCCACCCTTGTTATTGCCGGAGATTTCAACTGTTGTTTACTTAAGGCCAGGGGTAGTGCCCGCGAACGCATGTTGCCCGACCTGTTTGACACTTACGGACTGACCATAGCTAACCGTGATCGTCCCACCTACCGACCTGCCGGTTCTCTTCTCGATGTTGTTGCCACGAACCGCCCGGACCTTGTGCGCAGAGCCGGCGTGACCCGGTGTCACTTCGGAGGTCCACACGACTTTACCCGCGTTATTCTTGAGCGGCAGGGTCCCCCCGGCAGTGTAAACCAGCAGAGAGTCGAGCGGCGCTGTTTCGGTCGTGTTGATGTTGCTGCCTTCAATCGCCAGCTGTTTGATTGTGATTGGTCCGGTGTGTACCTGTCTGACAGCCCCGCACTGAAATGGCATGCCTTCTGTGAACTGTTTACGCGACAGCTAGATACCGTGGCCCCAGTTCGCCGGGTGACAGTCCGACCGGCAGCTACTCCCCCGGTATCGCCTGATACACAGGAGCTGCTCAGGCTGCGGCGCGCGGCTCTGACACGCGGCTCCCGGGACGAGTATCGCGAGGTGAATAGGCTGTGTAAGGCTGCGATTCGAGGCGACTGTCGAGCCTTCTATCAGCAGCAGATTAACCGTGGAGGGTGGCACAGTCTGTGGCGTGTTCTACAGCCCGTGATAGGACGCAAGCAGCAACATGCCGACCCACCTGCGGTCACGCCCGACGCACTAAATGACTACTATGTCACTATAGGACCTGCCACAGCCGCTGCCGTGCCGTGTCTCGCCGCTCCGGTTCCTGTCAGGCTGCCGCGCGTTACCTCAGGCACGTTCAAGGTCCAACCCACCGATATTGACACACTGTACTCCACACTCTTGAGTATGAAACCGTCAACGGCCACCGGAGTTGACGGTGTTAGTGTTAGAATGTTGCAGACGTTTTTTCCCGGCATTGGCCATGCTATTCTCGACATCGTGAACTCCAGTTTATCGACTGGTCTCATTCCACCTGGATGGAAGCACGCGATAGTGACACCAATACCGAAAGGCAAAGCAGGGAACACGCCAGCAGACACGCGCCCTATTTCCATTTTACCAGGCATAATGAAAATAGTTGAGCGCATAGTTCAAACCCAGCTGATCGACTACCTATCCGAGCATTCTCTGCTGGCAGCCGAACAACACGGGTACAGGAGACTGTACTCCACTGAGACGGCCCTCAACGTCATTACTGACCGCATTCTTCAGTCCATGGACAACGGTGAAATTTCAATTTTGGTCTTACTGGATCTTTCAAAATGTTTTGATGTCGTGTCTCACCAAAAACTACTGCAAAAACTTAGCCTATACGGTATCGACACCGACTGGTTCGCTAACTATTTGGCTGGGCATGTGCAACAGGTCAGAGTCCGCGCCGCTGACGGCTCCAGTATCACCTCCCGACCGAGAGAAAACACCATTGGTGTTTTCCAGGGAGGTAGTCTCAGTTGTGCCTTGTACATGCTTTTTGCTAACGATCTCAGTCTGCACATGCCCGACGGAGTCACCATAGTACAGTTTGCAGATGACACTCAAATTTTGGTCACTGGAAAGAAACGGGATTTGGATTGTATCATTTCACGCACTGAGGCCGCACTCGACGCCGCCTACCGATGGTTTTGCCACAATGGCATGAAAGTTAACGCCGCCAAAACACAGATGCTGGTGTTGGGCACACCAGCAATGTTGCGTGGACTCCCGCCCGTCACTGTCAACTTTTGTGGTTCAACTGTAGTCGATGCAGGGACGGTGAAGAACCTCGGACTTTATCTCGACCGCCATCTGAACTACCAAGCTCACATCACCGCCATGGCATCAAAATGCACAGGAATTTTAATCGCTCTCAGTCATGCCCGCCACGTGATGCCAGCAAACACACGTAAGGTAGTTGTTCAAGCCCTAGTCATATCGATCGTGCGGTATTGTATAAGCGTGTATGGGTCGTGCGGTGTGACCCAGATGGCTCGTGTCCAGAAAATTCTCAATTTCTGTGCCAGAGTCGTCAGTGGCCGTAGACGCAGCGACCACATCTCTGACGTCATACAGCAGCTCGGCTGGCTGCGGGCAGACGAATTAGCCGAGTACCACACTATCTGCGCAGTCCACCGAGCCATCACATCGGGTACTCCTGAACATATCAGTGATACCATCGGACCTGTAGCCCGCGACATACACGACCACAACACCCGAAACGCAGGGCTGATAACACAGCCACGGGCCCGAACAGAGACGGGGAGACGTCGACTATGTATTAGAGGAGTCGCGATGTTAAACGGTGCCGAGTTGAGCCCGTATATACCAGCGTTTCGCGCCAATGTGAAGCGTGTGATCATGTCGAGACGCCGAGTAGCTGTCTGAACCTGTTCCAGTCGCACGCTTGTTTGTGTTTGCCAGTGATATCTATGCCTACTCGTACTGTCTATATGTTCCCCGTTTTATCTGGTTTTACGTGTCTGGTGAAAAGCCACTTTTATTGTGGATCCTAGATGAATACACATCTGTATCTGTATCTGTATCTTGTCAGTCAGTCAGTTTGGCAAGTCTTTCATTCAGCTAGTCAGTCCATCAATTATTCTCATCATATTGCCATTATTACTATAGTCTGTTCCATATCAAGTTTGCAGTCGGATTTTCTTCGGCAGATCGCTCCTCCGCTCAAGAATTTGCGTCTTAAAATGTAAGAGCTGTATATACAGAAATCACGCACTGCTTTCAGCAAGGCACTTCGGCTGCAAACTTGAAACGGAACAGAGTATATCATGGACTAATGTGTTGAAAATATATAGTAGTCTAGTGCCTCCATACATCATTATCAACACCAGTTGAATCGTGATCACCATTATCATTATCACATCACCATCATTCCGATCTCTCCCTGACAGATATCGCGCACCCAGAGATTGGTGATCAATTCACGGAAATCTTCATCAAATCTCCGGAGAACGTCAACCTGGCCGTCAGTATGCTGGCAGAGTACGACTTCAAGATCCGCTTCCCATCGGTGAAGCTGATTACTAACCTGCTCACCAACAGGTAGGAGGGAATAGGAATAGGGTGGGGAAATGATAATGATCTGCCGGAATAGGTATGTGAGCGTATGAGTCATGAGGATAGATAAAATTCGAAGAGTCGTGGTATGGTATTGTGGTTCGTTTCCGATAATCTCACGTGGGGCTGTTTCGGTCTTAAAGGTTATCAATTGATTTGACGATGTCGGTGCGATACTTTATGATGTCGACCTTCTTCCGAAGTCCAGTGAAAAAATTGTTTGACGGCATTATAAGCACCAGCAACCATTCGCTATTGAATCAAACGTGGAATCAAATCCATTGCTCCGTTACCGAGGAAAGGCAGACTGTGGTTTGCCAGTCTCGCGGTTACGGGCGGTTAGGTGTGGTTACGTCATAACCTCAAGGTTATTATCGTATTGCGATTACTGGTTACCCTTCAACCTTAGTCTGGATAGGTAAACGGGAGCGTAAGGGGAAGGCCGGGCGTGACCTTGTTCCCGCTAAGATCGCTGATTTCACCAACCTTCATCGCGTTGTACCGAGAGTTCACATCTCCTTTGAAAACTGCTGAGTAGGCTATCCCGATCTCTGCTCTTGCTAAACAAATGTTATCGTTGTTATGCAATCAACTGATTCGCGAGGATGCCAACATAAGCGTCACAGGTCGTTAATTATGGATTTGAGGATAAACTGGCATAGTACGTCGGACATAGTGGCTACTGGCTATAGTTTTCTGGTTTTCTGGTATAACGCGGCAAAGGCCACTGAATGCATATCAATTGTGTTTCGTGCTACCAACGTCCAACCATGAACTAGCTAATGAATAATTAGGTCATACTACGGACGTGATGATATTGTGAGCCGTGACCTATGTTCCGTGAACCATGCTTTGTATCATCACTTACCACGTTATCGAAATGCTCCGGTCCTGACGCTGACGTCTTTTCCCCGTCATGTTCAGGCCGCGCGAACTGCAGGACCTGATCCTGGTGGCACCTATGGCAGTCTCAAAGATGATGGACTTGCTTAACGACCCCAGGGAGGTCATCAGGAATGATGTGAGTTTGTGAGATTGTGAGACTTATGTGAGAGCTCGTGAGTTGGAGACATGTGAAGCTAGAAGTTTGTTAGTTTGTCAAAGTTCGTGTGTTCGTTATAGAAATGAAGTGTTGCTTGGAATTGTCAGAACCATTAGTTTGTAAAAAAAAAAACATTGTTACATCCACTTTATGTTCAAAATTAAACCACAAATGTCGTTGTTCTTCAACTTCATTGGAAAGATACTCGTATTTTCTCTAACAACTGCCGAACGTTACTTTGAAAACTGATTACTGTGATAATTTGGGAAGTGCTCACTGCTCACACATTTTCTCCCCTCCTCAGGCTCTGATCATGCTCACCCAACTCACAAAGGGCAACGCCAACATCCAGAAGATCGTCGCATTCGAGGGCGCCTTCGACCGTCTCTACGACGTTATTGTGGACGAAGGCACCGCCGAGGGAGGTATCGTCGTCGAAGACTGCCTCCTCCTGATGCTAAACCTGTTGAAGAACAACGCCTCCAACCAGAGCTTCTTCAGGGAGGGCAGCTACATCCAGAAGCTGACTCCCTTCTTCAGACTTGCCTCTGAGGAGCCTGAAGTAGGCTGGTCGGCGCAAAAAGTCAGCAACGTCCACTATATGCTACAGGTGGTGCGGACGCTGGTGTCTCCGAGCAACCCAAAGCAAGACACATCAGCAGCTCAGAGAGTAATGCACGCCTGTGGCCTGCTCACTCTACTGTGTGAGGTGCTGATGGCTAGTGGAGTACCGGCGGATATTCTCACGGAGACCATCAATGCAGTCTCGGAGGTGATTCGCGGATCGGATGTGAACCAGCAGTTCTTTGCGCAGGTCATGGCGCCGTCAGAACCACCACGGTGAGTTGGGGGGGGGGGGGGGGGCTCGATGGATCGAGCTGGTAGGGATGGACTTGCTTGCAGGTGGGAGGTCTTGGGATGTAAACAAAATAGAGAACTAGTTTTGTGCTTCAATGGAGCGAAGGGTGCAAAGTGTAAGAGTGCCATGCAAGATGGAAGGGTCAGTTTATGTAAAATTGTTAGCTTGAGTTTTTATGAGATTTGGTTGGGTATCATATATTACATATGACGTGGCATTTTTTTACAACCCCCGACCCCCCGGCCATCTCTACCACTCAGACATTTATTTCATAAAGCGTTCCGTCGTGTGCCGATGCCGAATATGATACGACCCCATATGTATCACGTGACATCCCCCACATGCTATTTTATGAGCGTCCCATCGTGTACGGAATATAATGCAACCCCATATCACGTGACATCCCCCCCCCCCCAATCTCTTCCCCCAGTCCGGCGATCGTGGTCCTACTGATGTCGATGGTTAATGAGAAACAGCCGTTCGTTCTTCGGTGTGCGGTTCTCTACTGCTTCCAGTGCTACCTGTTTAAGAACCACCACGGGCAGTCGGCTGTGGTACAGACCCTGCTACCCAGTCAGACCGTAGAAGGTTGGTACTTGGTAGAATTATAGTAGGATGTTGGTAGAATGTCGATAGAATCATCACAGGCAGTCTGCGGTGGTTCAGACTCTGCTGCCCTGTCAGACAGTGGAAGGTTGGTAGAATTATAGTAGGATGTTGGTAGAACCACGGACAGTATGCTGTGGTACAGACGCTACTACCCAGTCAGACCGTAGAAGGTTGGTAGAATTACAGTAAGAGGTTGGTATAATTGCTAGAAAGAGGATGGTTATCTGTAGTCAGACTAAAGAACGTCGGTAGGTACGTTGAACAGAAAAAGACTTATTAGAAGACTGCCACTAGAATTATTCGATTGCAGCCAAACGTAAGAATGCCTCGTTATTTTGTAGTCCATTCATAAAGGATTCTAAAATTAGAATAATCGTCACATAATATTTTGGATAATCTCCCCAGCTTCCTCTAACCCCTCGCTCTCTCCATCTGGCAGCCTCTGGTATCACGGCCGGTCAGCTGCTGTGCGGCGGTCTGTTCTCCTCCGATCCTCTCTCCAACTGGTTCTCTGCGGTCGCTCTCTCTCACGCGCTGGTGGGCAACTCGGAGCAGCGCGCGCAGCTGCTCAGGGTACAGCTGGCGACCAGCGTGGGCAACCCGCCCGTCAGCCTGCTTCAGCAGAGCGTCACCATCCTACAACAGGTCGGTGGCTTGGGGGGAGGGAATGTTGTCAGAGATCGCCGGAGATGGTACAGTTTACTGCAGAATGATGTAATTCCACTCCTCAGAAACTATCAGTTGACTTGAACGGTAAGGTACCGTTTGTCATACAATTAAGTTTGTCTATGTCACGGATTGACACCGTCCCGGCCTGGCCAGGCGGGTCGCCGATGGGAGCACAAAAATGTTTTATGCTTATTTTTGTTTGTGTTTTATGTGAATTGTGTTAATAAAATGTATGGAAAAAAAAGTTTGTCTATGGTGAGCGTTGGGTCACAGCATTTCACTGTGTCACTCGACCTCCCGTGTGCAGATGCGGCACAGCCTACCTTTCCAGGCAACTGACTGCCGGTGAAAAGTGGAACATCATTCTGTAATCGACTGACGTGAGCAGTGCAAATGCTCCTGTATTTACATTGCATTAACCGGTCTTCAATGTACCTATCCAACGTACTTACGTTGCTTGCAACGTCTTGTCATTCTTTTATGTCATTCATACCGTTCTTGTTAGCATGGAATTATTCAAGATACATGAACAATGCAGATAGGACAGATAGTTATTACAAACGTATTACCATAATGAACGCATTGTAAGATTTGTAATTCAGATTGTCTTGCTGGTATATTCGCGGTTATTTTTATCGTACAGGGCGATCTAAAGGGTCACTCTAGATAGCGGAGGACGTCTCTTTGGAATGGCTCAGGTGCGGGTTTGATGGAAACTGCTATGAGCTTATTATAGGCGTTAATTGATTGATTTTGTTATGCTTGCTAATTTACTTCTTAGATGTTGTATTAAGAACATTTTGTCACCATGCGAAGTACGAAATGAATAACAACCATTTCTTTCACCCCTTTATTCAGCTAAAAACGCTCCTCATCTCTGCTGAATACCAATGCTTCAGTCTATCATCCCCTCTCACCCGCGTGCGTTTCATCACAGACGAGTCGTCTTCAGACGCGTATCGGCCTTCTGATGCTCCTGGGGACCTGGCTGGCTCACTGCCCGGCCGCGGTCACCCAGCTGCTACGAATACCCAGCGCGGTGCCCTACCTCATGTCGCAGGTCAGTTGAGAGACTCGGCGGGGATGGAGTTTAGGTCGGTGAGAGTCTGACTGTGGGTTTTGTCGAGTTTGGTCGATTGGATCGGTTTCGCATGGTGTCAGTGATTTGGGTCTATCCTGTGCGTGGCCTGGATCTCGTTACGTAATGTGAATCAGATATTAGTTTCAATACATATTTTGTGATAACAATGTTGTGCTTCTACATTGTGACCTGTTAAACAATGTGACAACCATTTATACAACGACATAAATGTTTGACGACCGTTTCGATAACGTGAGGAATGCACTTACAGAGTATCCTGTTTTCCCTGCTCATTGTGAAGTTACGACACATTTACGTAACTATGAATCCGTCCCGTTACGCATTGTGACGCCCGTCACGGCTCTGTTACAGCTGAACAGTAACGAGAGCGACGATCTGGAGCAGCTGTGTCAGGGTGTATGTGCCTTCATTATGGGTCTGTGTGCCATCGGCACCGACAACTCCGTCACTAACTACACAAAGGTTTGTATCAGTAAATACGCAAGGGATGGAGACTTCCACTGGCGTCCAACTGGCGTCTAACTGAGCAGACGTCCAAGTTGGCGTCTAACTTTACTGTTGGACGGAGTTAGCGTCTAAAGTTAGCTGTCGCCAGATAGACGCAGCCGCCGTCCAGCTAGACGCGTCTAAGACTACGACGAGTCCAGCTAGACGCGAAATAGAAGTATCCACCCATAATGTCAGTGTCACTAGAATCAACAAGTTTAATTTGAGTAAATGTGCCAAAGCCATTCATGTCCCCAACTGCATCAATATTATTTATTTTAGTCGGGCAAAGTGCGTTAAACCAAAACATGGACAGTATTTCGTCTGTGAAGATGTCATGATGCATCCTGAAGCGTTTCCATTTTTGCACGCATGAGTTCCATGGCATACCTGACTACCTCTCCTTCGTCTTATCCTCAAGAATGAGCTAATTTAAGAGCGTTAGCTTCACCCCTTCTTCCTCTCCTCAAAAACTAGTTTTTAGATCCCCAATGACACACCCGCTCCACTTTAAGACGAGAAGCTAGCTCTAAGGCCCCCAGAGTGACCCCTCCCTTTCTCCCCCTCAGGATGATCTTGTTATGCTGATCGAGCGTCGTGTGGGCGTGGAAACTTTCCTCAACAAACTCGGCCTAGTAATGAAACACGAGTTCTATAGTCGCAGCCTCAAACACCCGCAGCTCAGCGCCAGGGAGCCGAGACAGCTCGTCTTCGAGCACGAGTTCTGCAAACTGTTCAAGAACCTCGAAGGTAGGATATAATTGTAAAGATGGGTGGGTGAAAGGGGTGTTTGCATTTTAGCTTGTGTGGAAATTTTGCTGCTATTTTGCCTGGACTGTAATGATTATGGTTTTGTTTATGTCCTATTCAAGACAGAACTACGTATGGGAGCTACAGGCCTCACAAAGAGGCCTCACTCCCTGAAATCCTTCAAAGTCAAAAGTCAAAGTTTATTTTGATAATTAGTTGTGACTTGTGATGCTCAACTTGTGACTCAATCGGCTGTATGAGTTGGAAGATCATGTTCGGCGATATTTTGTATGTGTAGAAAACACCAAAAATTCCAACACTGCACGTATGATGTCCATGAATGTTTCCACAAAGCGTGTGACTGAGTTAATGAGTTTTATCTCAGGGAGTGTGATCAAGGTGGTGACTCTGGATGATGATGAGGGCGACACTCAGTCCCCGTCACCGGAGACTGAGAACGACTCCGAGATGGTGCAGCGCTACAAACAGCTCATTAGGACTCAGGTAAGTAGAACAAACAGCGCTCAGCGCTATAAACAGCTCATCAGGACTCAGATGAGTCGACAAACAACGCTTCAAACAGCGCTCAGCGGTATAAACAGCTCATCAGGACTCAGGTGAGTCGACAAACAACGCTTCAAACAGCGCTCAGCGGTGTAAACAGCTCATCAGGACTCAGGTGAGTACACAAACAGCGCTACAGAATATAGCTGCTGGGCCCTGTTCATGAACCCCGGCGGTCGCTGCGGCCGCTGCGGTCGCTGCGGCCAGCCGGGTTGTTACGTCACAAAAATGGGCGGGGCTCATGTAGTATGACGAATGTATGACGTCACCTTGCTGCGGCCGCTGCGATCTCTGCGGCCGCAATCCAGCGACCGCCGAGCCGCAAGAAAACTAATGCACTGAACTTGGCGCACTGAAGTCAAATAGGCGCAAGCCGTGTTATCATGGAGACGATTTTGTAAACATATTATCCAGCGGTGTGCGTCAGTTGTAAACAATTGTCGGAAACTATTTCGGCAGCAGACCAGACGCTGTTCATCAGGGTCGCCATCACTGCTGAGCCGAGTGAGTGATGACGTTTCAAAAATGGGCGGGGCTTAGACCCTGCGGCCGGCCGCAGCGACCGCCGACTTCATGAACAGGGCCCTGATCAGAACTCAGGTGAGTAGGTAGTCAAGTAGTGCTGCAAACAGCCTATAAACAGTTGATCAGGACTCAGGTGAGTACACAAGCACTAATCAGCGCTACAAACAGCTGATCAGGACTCATGTGTGGTAACAAACACCACTACAAACAACTGACCAGGATTCAGGTGTGGTAACAAACAGCTCTTCAAATAGTCACTGATGCGCAAAGTGCCACAAACAGAATACGACCATTTGGTGAGTAGAGCCTGTCAGAATTCGTTGTATCGTGGCTATTGATTGGACGGGGCATCGTTTTCATGACATTTTTTGACAAGTCCAAATATTTCGGCCAATATTGTTTGGCCTTGGTCACTGGACAAATACAATAACCCTTTAACCCTTACCCTTAGTGGCCTTGGTCACTGGACAAATACAATAACCCTTTAACCCTTTGTATTTGTCCAGTGACCAAGGCCAAACAATATTGGCCGAAATATTTGGACTTGCATACGCAATACAATCTCAGTGAATTCCGATAAAGTTTTATATCTACAAACATAAACCTGGGAAAAATATGACTCTAAAACAGCACATTTTTTGACAGTTTTTAGGAGATCAGTCTCCATCGGAACGTGCACCTAATGCGAAAACGAATTTCGCTAACATTAAAAGACCGTTCTCTCCCCAGGACGAGGAGCTGGCACGACTCCGCTCCTCTCTCTCCGTACTGGAGGCTCAGTCGGAGGCACGTGCTCTGCAAATCGACGAACTGACCTCGTCCGTGGAACAGCTGAAGGATCAGAACACACTTCTGCGCGCCCAGATCAGTACAGGTGAAGTGTGTGTGGGGGGGGGGGGGAGGCGGGAGGGGAAGGATCGTTGAGGGGTGGGTCGGGATAAGTTAGATGACGGAATGACGTAGATATGGCAGACCTAGACGTAGATGACGCAGATTGGATGTAGATGGGGCTTGTTTGGGGTGTCGTAAGCTAATCCTGACGGGAGAATCGGAGAGATAGTTCAAGAGCGCCTTTTGAAAACAGGCATGTGAAGGCAATTAGCCAGGAAAGACGCTCATGTAGAATGTAGATGTGAGGCATGCTTTTGGTTTTGAGTTGATCGCTTTTATCATTGATTACGATAGCAATGAATGAAAGCTGAAACCTGACGTCTTCAGTCACAACTTTTCCTTTTTTGTTTTGTTTTATCATTGTGTTTAGTTTCACACACTTTCGACTCGTTTCTTTTCCAGACCCTGATCGGCCAGCGCCAGTAATCGACACTACAGCTTCCCCGTCCGGACAGAAGATGTCAGCACTGTCTGAGGAGCACAGCCAACAGATGGCAGCACTGAGCGCCGACTGGGAGCGCCGCTGCGAGGAACTCTCGGCTGAAAATGTCCGACTGCAACAGCTGATGGAGACACAACACCAGGAGTGGCAGCAGTACTTTGTGCAGCAGCAGGAGCAGCAACAGCTACAGCAGCAGCAGCAGCAGCAGGTGGGGATTGCCGCGCTCAGAGACGCTGCTGGTTAGCTCTGAATAATTCAGAATAATCAGAGCCTCTGATGGAAGCATTGCATGCTGGGTCTGGGTGCGAGGTTTGGTCATTGTTACGGAGCTTTCCTCTGGACAGGCTGACGAAGTTTTCGCTGCGTGTGGTGGTCCGCTCTGCTAACATGTTTCGTTTTTTGCACGCGTCCCACTATAAACTTATGTGTGTTATAGCACTTACTTTATTACCTGTTTGAAGATTGACGTTTTGCCATTCGTGTTTGGTCGAACCGTTTGTAAAGTAACCGCTTGTCACTCACTAGTGTTCTGTTAGAAGTTGAAATAATCGAGAACGTTCCACTTCCGTTTTCCCTCTCTGACATTCCAATTATCTGTTCCCCACCGACCAGGCGGCACCAGACTCATCCGACTCCACCGAGGTCAACGCCCTGAGGCACCAGGTCAGCGACCTCCAACAGCAGCTGGCTGCCCTACGGCTCTCCGGCGGGGTCAACGGCCTGGCCGAGGTCAACCCCACCAGTGGTTCTCAAACCTCTATCGACTCCACGCAGCCCTCAGACGCCATCAAGCGCGCGGCAGAGGCCGAGTTGGAAGCCTCTGCGCTGCGGCAGCGAGTCAGCGAGCTGGAAGCTCAGCTTTCCACCGCTCCTAGCTCCTCCGAGCTCTCACAGCTACGCCAGCGAGTTGCGGAACTCGAAAACTCCTCAACGCCCTCTAGCTTCCCCACTTCAACCGCGTCTGTGACAACCCAGGCCACCTCTGAGGTGGCGCCAGCGTCGGCGGCGACTTCAGAAGCCTCCGAGGAGCTGCGGAAGCTCCATGAGAAGGTGGCAGCTCAGGAGGAGGAGCTGCGGGAGCTGAGGGGAGCTGGGGAGGAGCTGGAGGAGCTAAGGAGGGAACAGGAGGATCTGCTGGTGCTGCTGACAGACCAGGAGGCGAGGCAGGAGGAGTACAAGAAGAAACTCCGGCAGCTGGGAGTGGAGGTGAGTTAAGAATCTCATGAGAGTGGAGGCGAGTTAAGGAACTCGAACAGTGAGGAGTGGGGTCGAATTTTACTCCAATGACTGGAGGATTGGGGCTAAGTTAAACGTTGGTAGCAGCTGGGTGGAGGTGAGTTAATTGGAAGACGGAATGAGCTAAACTCCGGTAACTGTGAGTGGAAGTAGAGTTTCCGGACACGAGAGGAGGAGTAAGAGACTCGCTACTTGTTTCCACGTTTACCTGGACTCGAAAATTGAGAATTGACGTGTCAACGGCAGCTTGACATTGTTGGCTTTCTAGTTTTATGTGGTTCTAACCCGTGAACTACCCTTACGTGTAAATTTAACTCCTCACTCAGAAATTTCTCTCATCCGGTAACCATTCTCACTTTCCGTTTTCGCTCCGGACAGGTGGAAGATGATGACGACTGAAGAACATCCCGACCTTCTGAGAACGACAGAAGCACTGTGCAATGGCGTACACAGGGTCGGGCATGGCGCGCCGAGTGTACTCTGTACCGGTAAGGGCCGTGGTGCACCTAGTGTACCAGCGTAGTTGACGCACCTTGCCGCCTATGGAACCCATGGTTATTGGTGAATTTTTGTTGTCAAGTCGTCTTTGATAAACAGAGGAACATTATTACACGAAGCGATAAAAACAGGCTTGTCGGGTCAGATATCAAAGTGATGACGCATTTCTTCAGATTGGGCGAGCTAGCTAGGCAAGAGCTAGCGAGCGTAAATATCTGCTTAAATGAGGAGAGAACGGATATATGGTGTCGGTTGTGAATTGTGATCGGTGCGTGTGATGTGATGTTTTTTCACATTCCCAATGTAGTTAACTGTCCAAGTGGCGAGTTCCAATGGTAATTGGGTGAGCGAGGCTATTAAATATGACTATTCTGAAGGCCTGCGACTATCGGTGATAAGACAGTTTATCATACAAATGATGAAAGTGATCGGTGCGTATTTGTGTCCTACCAGGGGCCAAAATACAGTATTTTGCCATGGTGGTACTGAAACAGGTCTGTTTGGTAAATAGATCTTCAATTATTCTCTCGATTCTCTCGTATTGGGTTTCCCACACTAGGGCTACCGATTTTCCTTTTTTGCACAGCAAAAAGAAGCACTACGTATCGAGGTTTTTCATCAACGCGTGCTTATTCGAAAAGGCACCATATGACGCATAGCTCTTGACAAGCTGCTATTGAGGGCAAGTAGCACGGTAGCATATTTATTGAAATAAGGCAGAATATGTGAGGAATGATATGGTTGGGTCTTGTGAGGGGCAAAGACAAGCCTTTTGTGAGGCTCGCGACGCCGGTTATGATTCCGTATTGGAGGGGGTGTGAGTCCTGATTCCCGATGAGTGTTAGATAATGCTGTTTTGTGATGGATTGGTGTAAACTTATGCTACCAAAGCTGCCTGTTGTAAACGGTTCGCCGCCCTGTATTTTGACCACTTGGGGTTGTAACAAATACATAGAAATGTTTCACATCTTGTGTTTGCTTTGAATTGATTGATTGTGTTTTGACCCTATGCATGACTCCGAGCCCGAGTGCATACTGCATACCCTATGCATTCTGTTCAGCGCTGTTTTGCAAACACTTGCCAAGTGGTGCTTAAATAAGTGGTTTTCTTGCCTATGTATGCACAGTGATTCGTTTTGTCGTATGAAGTGGATAAATTTGGTTAAATAAGTTGTTGCTATGCTAGAATTTAAAACAACCGAACAGAGCCATTTTGCAGCATTGTTTGTCCTATGACTTACTTTTCAGCCCCGTCTGATGTTTTCAGCCCCATTTTTGTATGTACATACATTACCGTCAAAACAGAAGCCGCAGTCCGCACTGCTAATCGTATCTCTTAAATCATGGACGAAAGAGTCGAGAATGGATGAAAAATGCATGAAGGTATTCCTTCATCCTTCATTCAACGATGCTCGTCGTGACTCGTGAGAATCATTCGACACTAAATAGAATAAAAAAACGCCTCACCACTGACCACAAATAAACGATCGTCTTTTTTAAACACGAGACGAGAGGACGTAATAGAGTTGCTCTCCCTTCAACAACTGTATGTGGTTTATCACGATCGTGTTTGCAGACACGGAGTTAGTTATCGACTGTTCTCTCTTCTAATCTCCTCTCCCCAGCAAATATATGTAGTTATGCAGCTGTGCAACTTTGCAACCACTGTCTGTCGCCCATATTTCGATTTACGAGTAGTTGGTGGAGGTCTCTATTATTTGATGATTTATTGGTTATTTATTATTATATTATTTATTATTATATTATTTGATATTTGATGATTTATTGCTTCATGTTGGCAGTGGGACCTGAACGGTAATGAGTGAGCAGGTGCCAAGATCGAGATTTTAGGCCTTTTATCTAACGGCTGCCGATTTTAAACGTTTTTTTTTTAACCGCGTAACATCACGAAAACGAGTTCTCCGCGAGCATTACCCAACTAAACCCATCGACGATTTTATCCCAGCCTCACATTTGTCACATAACAAGTCATATATGTCTCACTCCAGTTCTAATACATACGATCATCTAACCCTTGACATTTAGTCAGCCAGCCACGCCGGGCAAGGACCGGGGATACAAGAGCAGAGTATGTAAATCCGTATTATGAATGGATTATGCTGAGCGAATAGGAAGACCCGTTCCTGATGCTATTTATTTGCTCATGTATTCGGGGCATATGCACCATTTGACCCACTTGAATCACACACCAGCCTGATATGTTACTGTCCTGTCAGTCAAACTATGCTAACTGACACATACTCAGTCAACTCAACCCATACCGGGGCGTTACCAGGCAGCCATGTGTCCTGCAGAGTGCAGAGTGTCCTGCAGAGTGCTAGAAAGTGGCACGCATGGTCTTCCTGGAAGTCGCCCAGCCCCGGTCACCGGTCACGTTTCTAACGCCGAATGTATGTTGAGTGTCGTCGGCCCGCATATATGAGTCTGTGTAAGGTGTGTTTGATTGTCGACATGCGTTGCCTGACAAATCAATGCAGATACACTGTCGCATTTGAAATGTGGGGGGGGGGGGCGCTGAGCTCGGCGCTCGCATGATGTGCTCCTTTGATTATTTGGTGCCGGGTGGGATGCGCGCGTTGAAATCCATGCAGGTGCGACGTAAATTATACCTAACTCTTCTGTCAATACTTCTTCAGCTGATATCAGATGAAGTGTTCTCCATATATTTTTAGTTTAGTTTAACATTTAACATCTAACACATTTCCTTCCCTTCCCTTTTTCTGCTTTGACTTCTCTTTTCTCCGCTCTCTCTCTCTCTCTCTCTCTCTCTCCTCTCTCTCTCCTCTCTCCTCCTCTCCTCTCTCCTCTCTCTCTCTCTCTCTCTCTCTCTCTCTCCTCCTCTCTCTCTCCTCTCTCTCTCTCTCCTCTCTCTCTCTCTCTCTCTCTCTCTCTCTCTCTCTCTCTCTCTCCTCCCTCTCTCTCTTCTCTTTCTCTTTCTCCTCTCTCCCT